ATTCTATTCCAGCGGATATGGGCATCATATTTGCTGAGCAGCATTTCGATGGGACGATCAATTCTGTGGAAGCTTTTTTTATTAACGGTCTTAAGGAGTCAAAAGTAAATGCTGGCAGCGCAGGCCTAAACTATGGCACCTGGGTGAGCGCTGTTAACATCTTGGCACATTCGGATGAGCTGAAGAGCCTGCGAAAGCATATGTACTTGGAACCCTTGCCTCAGTTCTACCCTGTTCTGCAGCGTCGCCCATTAATATTTCGTTCTTCTGAGATTAATCAAGTGTGTCTGCCGTTTCCAGGCACAGATCGTTCGGTTGTCGAACGTTCGCAACGTTTTTTCTACGAGCATCAAAAGAAACGCCCGGTTCAGATGTATGCATACGTTGGTGTTCCCTCGTGGATAATTGCAATCGCCTTTGTATTATTTAGCATGGTTTTCATAATATTTACCAAGTTCGAGTTTGGCAGAAAGCTGCTACTTAAGCATCCGGAACTCTTTTCTGCTGGCTACGTGTCACGCAATGGGCCAAGTGAAGCTTACATGGATCGTAGCTATTTCAAAATGATTCTTAAGGCGACGGGCTGGCCTAGCGAGAGCAGCGATCAGGACAAGGAACTGCCCAGCAAAACCGTATTGTTTAGTGTGTCGGGTCCAAATCCTGCCTATGGAAGCACTTGTGTAGCCTTACTCGCTTCAGCGGTTACCATACTAAAGCAAAGCAACCAAATGCCTGGCACTGGTGGCGTACTGCCACCTGCCGCCGCATTCGCCAAGACAAGCCTGATCAGTGAGCTCGAGAAGCACGAGCATGGTATGAAATTTGAGATTCTCGACGACAAGTCGAAGTCTACTATAAATAGTTCAACAATTGGAAAGGTTCATATATAAAAGAGATATTCGCAGCCTTACGGAAAGTCGGGACTCAAATCGAACTAACTTCTCCGAAAATTTGATTTTGTTAAAACCAATTAATAAAAAAGTAAAATATTACGGGATTGATATTAACTAAAACTGTTTAACAAACACTCAGATTACCACAAAGATCCTGTTAGGCTTGTAGAGCTTGACTAACAGAATCACATCCAACTATAATAGTTTAGCTGATGCTCAGAGCTCAATCAAAAGCAGAATTATGCCAGCCATTCGCCTTGTCAAGATGGTCTCGAATAAGTTGGGGCGTACGCCAAGTGGTGCAAATAAAGTGCGACATTATTGACATACTTAAGTCCTAGGCATTATGACACTAATCGTATTAGTTGGTCGTTAGTTAGGCGCTGCTGTTACCGCTGCTGCTGCTGCTGCTGCTGCTGCTATCAGCGCCAAATGCGATTTCCGCACAATGAGCCGTTTGGCCCTTGTGCTCGCCATACCCTGTCTACTTGGCTCGCCTCGTTTCCGGTTTACGTGCGCTATTTTTCGTACAGGTGACATAATGACCCGGCTCTGGACGTGCACCGACGACACGTAATTAGAGAGACGCGAGGCGCCACCCGCTTCACCCGACAAGTTTGTCATTTAGCAAATCGGTTTAGCTGTCTCTATAGAATAGTTCCAACAGGTTCTGTCATCTATGTAGCCGGCTTTATTAAATTTGCAAACAACGAGCTTCGTACTTACAGCTCAATAACAGGCCAGAACTTGCTGCAGACAGAATATTTCCCATAGCCAACGGTGTTCAGCGCTTGTCGAAGCTCGTTTTAGGTAGCGGAAGTCGACACAATCTAAAGCTGGCACATAATTGAAAGCCATTGACAACTGATGTGTAGGTCATGACAAGGTCTGCTCCCAGTTGCTCTACAACCCAGCCCACAGACTTGAGTAGTGTCCTACACACACTGGCAAATGGTTGGGGGCACCCTTCATTCCTCTTCATTTATCAATCTTAATCACATGCAAATTTCATGCAGGCTCGCCATTAGGCAAAAGCCTGGGAAAAATTTGTTTTGAGCCTAGTTATGTTGCTCATATGCCAACTGGCTGTTAGTTTTGTTAACAACTTTCGCTATGGACCCGGACTTGTGCTAATCACATACCCTACAACCCCCATCACTCACCGACCCCCCTTTTCAGGCCGCCCCAAAGTTGTGTCGCGACATTTGCATTTTGGTGACATAATTTTTGGTGTATTGTGAAGTCAAATGGGTCTCAGTAAGGCACATGGCCAAAAAAACATTTGCATAATTAATGAGCTGAATAGATTTTGTGCTGAAGGAATTCTGTTAGTACTATGAACCCTGAAAGGGGCACTTAGAAAATATGGAGACTGTTCCCGGTAAACAGTTGTGATTTTATGGTCAGTTGAATAAAATATCTAAAAATAACTAAATAAGAATGAAAATGCATAGTCTAAGTCTAAGTCTAAGTCTAAGTCTAAGTCTAAGTCTAAGTCTAAGTCTAAGTCTAAGTCTAAGTCTAAGTCTAAGTCTAAGTCTAAGTCTAAGTCTAAGTCTAAGTCTAAGTCTAAGTCTAAGTCTAAGTCTAAGTCTAAGTCTAAGTCTAAGTCTAAGTCTAAGTCTAAGTCTAAGTCTAAGTCTAAGTCTAAGTCTAAGTCTAAGTCTAAGTCTAAGTCTAAGTCTAAGTCTAAGTCTAAGTCTAAGTCTAAGTCTAAGTCTAAGTCTAAGTCTAGTAAGTCTAAGTCTAAGTCTAAGTCTAAGTCTAAGTCTAAGTCTAAGTCTAAGTCTAAGTCTAAGTCTAAGTCTAAGTCTAAGTCTAAGTCTAAGTCTAAGTCTAAGTCTAAGTCTAAGTCTAAGTCTAAGTCTAAGTCTAAGTCTAAGTCTAAGTCTAAGTCTAAGTCTAAGTCTAAGTCTAAGTCTAAGTCTAAGTCTAAGTCTAAGTCTAAGTCTAAGTCTAAGTCTAAGTCTAAGTCTAAGTCTAAGTCTAAGTCTAAGTCTAAGTCTAAATCTAAGAGTTCGTAAATTTTTAATTTATTTTTTATTTTAAAGAAATAAATTTAAGAAAAATGTTCAAATCATGCAGGGCTGGCTCGATTATAGAGACTTGTCACAGGTAATTTTGGCTTATTGTTGCCTTTCGCATGGTTCAATTACCTGGGATTTGGCGAAGATGACATTCCTTTGTGTTACCTTGAAATGCCTGACTAACGCTAATTTCCGTGGGTATTTCTTTGCGTACTTTTGCCTCAAGCTAATGACATTTGTGTCAATAAAAATAATCAATCATTGGCTTGTGGAGGGGGGGCAGGAGAAGAGCAGATGGCTGCGTAATCTTTAAAGATGATGATGGCAACGGCTTTGAAGGTGCTTTTGATGTGATATTCTGTGATGTGTGTCGCGATTGGGGACTGAAGTATAGAGTGGTTCCTAGGTTAGCTATTTAAAAATAAAAAGTCCTTGTCAGATTTCTTGATGGATGTGTGCTGAAAACGTGGCTTGACGCAAATGGCATTTTAGCTAAATGCAACTAACATTGGCAACATCAACTCGTACAAAGTTTCAAAACACGTAGCTGGTCAGCAGCTGTGGAAAAAGTTCTACACAGAGCGACACGCACACACACAAAGGCGCACACAACAATTTCCAAATAAATTTTAATTGTTTTGAACAATTAAAAATTAAATTTAAAAATGCTACGTGAAATATACGTGAAGAGCGATGGTGAAAAATTGTACTTTTATTCAATTTGTGCAACTGTTCGAGTACGTGAGTATGCGTGAGTTTTCTCAGTAAGTACATCTGTGTGTGTGTGTATTTGTATCTGTGTGTTGGCTGTCCAAATGCCGCTGCTGCTAAACAAATTAAATTAGACAACTTTTATTCATTCGTTTGACATTTTTATTTGTTTTCAAACTCATTTCGTGCAAGGCGAGAGAGGACTACTCTGACAACCGGACAATTAACAACAAATACAATTTGCAGACTTTAGTTTAACAATATTTCCAACTGCTGTTATTTAATTGTTTGTCAGTCATCTCTCTGCCTCACTCCCCCTCGCTCTCTCACACTCGCTCTGGCTTCGTTTGTGCAAATTTAATTAAATGCCATTTGGAAGGTGGTCTGATTTGAATGGTGTCTGCCCCAAAAAAGCTCGGTTTTGTTGATTTCAAAGTTGTAGCAACATTTTAAATTTCATTTACCATTTTATGACACTTTCTTTTATTTTCACATTGTCAGCGGCATTGATAAGGTCGCTTATCGCTCGTTGATTGCCATCATCGAAAAACTCAAACATCACCAAAACGATACTAAAAACGCCGTCATTTTTCATTACAATAAAAGTTTTGTATTATTCGGCATGCTTCAATTGCAGATATCATGTGTAATGAAAATAAAAGCGAATTCTCTCTGTGGAAGTTGTTGAAGAGCGAAAGATATATAAGTGGGCTGGGATAAAACGAGTAATGTAATCTATATATATATATATATATCAAAAGTGTAGTCAATTGACTTTTATTTTAGGTTTTAGGTAAGTGTGCTTCGATTATAAGTTTTATTCTGTGATGCAAGCCAATTATGTCACTGCAGTTTAGTTCTTCTGCTTTCTCTCCCTTCTGCTGATTGCAGCAATATTTCTATTTTCCAATGTCGCTCTAATCAACTGTGATGTACTTTAGTAAAAGTTCAGCTAAATTAAGTTTATATATACAACAAAAATATTTCTTAAACAAATTGGTGTCAAGTCTTAGAATAAGCAAATACATCTGGAAATAAAAATATTATAACCCCATATATATAGTTGTTTTTATTTAACTAATAGTGATATAACATTTACTAAAATTAATGTAACTTACATTTTCACTATATACATTAAATAAAAAATATCTACATTCTTCGTACTATCTATGAAAACTCAATTATTGATTTCTAAAAAGAATGAAATAAGCCAATTAAAATATAGTTAACTAAATGATTGAAAAAGCCCCAGTCATTAAGTAAACCTCGTCTTTAAGGTGTCATAATAAAAACTTAAAAGTACTCGAAGGTAAATGATAAGATCGTCGATCGTTTGTCGATTGTATTGAACGGCGCATTATTAGTTTGTCTGTGGCAGTGGCAACAGCAGCGCTTGTCCCAAAAATAAAATTTATTTATACGAACGGAAATATTGAACTTATCTGTGAAAATTATCAAAAAAGAAAACATAAACATCTAAGAGAACTCCTTATCGAATATGCCACTGCAGCTGTTTAAACTGCTGCTACTGTTGCTGCTGTTCAAGTGCCTCAAAGCCGAGTGTTGGTGAATATGCATGTAAATTTAGATGAGTCCGATCCATATATGCTCAATTCGCAGCACCACAATGTTTTCACTTCACCTGGATAGGACCCTACGACAACAAAACGAATATAGTCAAGGAAAGCTGCGATGCAAGAGTTGGCGATTTCAATGAGATACCCTGTGAAATGCCCTTGGTAGTCACTCGTAGGTATACGTCAATTGAAAGCGTATTAACCTATAGCTGTGCAAATTCACTTCAGCCAACGATACTGTGCCGAATGTGAAGGCATTGTGGAAGAACGAGACATTGAATCGCGAACATTATCTGTGCCAGATGTCACCCGGCTACTCCTGCGTCAAGTACTCCTACATATTCAAGGGTGGCAGTAAGTACTTTGTTATACTTACACATATTTTCATACTCTACATAAGAGGAAAAACAAACAGCGCAAGAGGGGTTTAATGCTGATTATGTTCATGCATGCAACCCTAGATAAAATAATATAAAAAGATTGAGATAAGTTCCATTAGGAGAGACTGCAAGAACAAGACACGAGGTTATATTTACTTCTGAATTAGGGAAGTATTGAAGCTTTTATGTATAAGCGTGTATAGATAAGGTGTAAAGAATATATGACTAATGTAAACATCCGCAGTTGTAAAACTAGTGTCATTTAATTTTGATAGTGAATTGCTGATGAACTCAGATGTTGACTTTATCACACCATAAAAATTTTGATAAATATTGACATCTAAAATCTATTATTTTCGTTGCATTAACTTGATTGCTACCCTATAACTGGCTTAGCCCAAAGTTAGAGACACATATTTTACTCTCACAGTTCACACACTGATCTGGATGGCTAAAATTTTCTAAAGAACTTTTCGAATCTATAGCTAGGACTTATTTATTATTTATTTTATTATACGCTTATATATAAATAAATTAAATTAAATTAAAATTAGCTTGAAATAACAAAAAATATTTATTAATTTATACTTTTCTTTTATTTTCATTAAAAAGTACAAAATATTACCTATATGTGTGCCAAGGTGAATAACAGCAATGGCTGTTACCGCGAAACCCAGTCGACGGGCATGCAGGTGGAGGCTTGCGTGTGCACCTCTAAACTGGGTCTGATACCCTGCAATTGCAGCCCGACTACGCAGTCTCAACAAATTCTTGGCTGGGTCATAGTGCTGCTCAGCGCTTTTATTGTTCTTAAATAAACAAATCGAAAAATAAGAGGAAAAATAAATGTAAAAATAAAATATTGTAGTTGATAACTCATTGGGTACTTCAATGCGATCGGAAGTGCACTGCCAATTTGTTTAGTTAACGTCAGAAAGAGGGTGTCTTACACTGTCTATGGTTCGTATAGTTGGTGGGACTTCGCCCTTTTCCACTATGTAATGTGACATTTCCGCGCTTTTGATTTTGACAAGTTTGCACAATTTATGGGCTCTTTTTATAGGCCATATATTATTTTTTATGGTCTTTCATTGGTAACGCGTTGGCTAAATAAACTGCCATAATTTATTTACTTGGCTATTAATCAAATGCAACGATGACAAAGACTCCACACGCACGCCACTTATTTGACTGTATTGTCTAAAATATATTTTTGGCTTTATGAACTGTTTATTTTCAACAGAAAATGCTTTTAGCAGCCTCTCAAACTGCTATGCACATAATTTACTTTTAAATTTAACTAAAATAGAACAAAATAACAGAATAATTCCATTTTTACTACTTTCTTTTTTTGGAAATATTTATTAAAACTGCAATTTTGTTGTGTGCATTTCGTGAAACGTGTTGCCAGTTCAGACAACAGAAAAATCTCAACTCAATAATAACAATAAATAAACAGTAAATCAAACAAACCGTAAAATATTGTCACAGACAGCAGCGGCATAATAATAGGCCCGGTCGGCCAGAGGCGAGAGGTGGGTGGGCATTCGAATGGGTTGCTGAACTGGAGACCATGACCAAATGGCAAACAATGCAGCCGATAAACAGAGTGCGAGTGATGCTCCAATTGCCGGCGGGGCTATGCGGCGTATGAGCAATGCACACAGTGCACAATTAAAGCACTGCTTGCAGATGGGCCTGCCGGTGGAGTGCCCTACGCCCGGCTATGCAGATTGGCAGTGGCCAATATCCATTGGGCATCCAATGCATTCAAATAAACTAATTTTAATTCCTCGCTCTTCGGCTGAGGCACGCAATGCAGCTCAATTGTGACGCAAATGGTTATTAAAGGATGGCACTGGGTGTTAATGCAAATAACTAAAGCGGGTAGGGTCAGCGGGCGAAGTGCCGCTGACAATGCAGTTATTTGTAGTCGTGACAGACGCATTCATTTATTTAATTTATAAATTACTTTTAATGTTTTTATTTCAATTTAAAACGCCAAACCAATATAAAAACCTTAAAATAACCAATTGCAAATTATGACGTTATACGATATGAACTCTTGTTAAATATAAAAATCTTTATCATACGCTTGATATTTACATTTGCTGATGTTGTTGTTGCATTGAAAAAGGTCGTACGGTACGGCGCGACCGTATATTGCATTGATATATTTTTAATATTAAAAAAAAAACAAATGTATTTATATTTATTTACTATTTTTTAAGTAAAAAATGTTTATTTAATATTATTTAATACTGATGTAAATTCAAATTGCATTGTGAATAAAGTGCATGCAACTGTATTGAACGATCTTACAAACGCATAAATTAAATTAAACTCAGATTAAAAATATCTAACAAAATCCATTTCCTATCAGTAAGATACTTTTTATAGATAAAGTTTTTAATATTTGTTTGGGATTTTTAAGAAAATTTCATGCAGCTCGATGGAAAACAAAATAAAATTCACGCTCTTAATCTAATAACTTTAGATGCGTCTTACTATTTATACAATATTTCCATTCAAAATTCATTTCAATCACAAATTTCTTCCATATCGTACTTTACTCTTCATTTCTTTAGCGAATTCACCGAACTTTCCATTTGTGGAACACAATCACCTGTCGCAGCAACTTGCAGAATAAGCGATGCTGTCGAAAGCACAAAAAGTGCAATTGAATCGTGGACGAGGCGTTGCGACTGCTTTAATTTGCTGTTTTATTTATGCACAGTGAATACATGCATATATAAATATACATATAAATTTGCCAATATATTCGATATGCATAGACTGAATACGCCAATCGACTGTCCGCTGTGCTTATCTTAACGCCCGTCCATAAGCCGACATTTTCGTTGTGTGAAAAAATAAATATAATTTGTTGTTATTGCTTTTGCTATTGTTGTTGTTGGGTCTATGGCACCTAATATTATGCCATGCTTATGCACTGAACATAACTAAGCTATTGTAGTTGTTGCTGTCGCTGTAGCTATTTGTTTAGCATTTGCGTAGACTGTTTTATGTATATTTAGATAGCCCAACGCTTCGTGTGCGTTATATTACAGTAGAAATGAGCATATAATTTATATGTCTGCGCTACACACACACAGATTTAACATGCAATAATAATCGCCGATGATAAATAAATGTGATTAGTATTATCTGAAAACGCAGTGATAAAAACTGACATTAGGCAAGATTAGTCACTCTGAACGCATTTAGTTATTGGTTGAACAAACGAGCAAGGAAATAAACTAAAAATCAAGGCAAGTCTTCAAAGAGAACATGTTTGGCTTGTTTAAAATGGAATTGAACTGACGATTTGCAATTTTGAATGTAAGCGTATGTACCTTAAGTATATTAAGCTTACACAATTTGCTTTCGCTTTAGTTATCTAATTAGTATTTACTTAATGTAAAATATAAATTCAAAACCTACATGGTCCGACTATTCGAGCACGGACATGGATAGATCAGCGATGTTTCAATTATTTAATGAGCAAAAGCAAGCTATACGTTGACATTGGCATGGCTTGAATGGCGCATTCAATGAGTGCATTCATACATTCAAACACCGCAAGCTCAATTATTCATTGACTGTTTTTTTGTGTGTCCAATTTTCAAATTGAACTAAATTTTGCACCACCGCGCGCTCTGTATTTATTTTGGACGAAACCCAATGGCAAGCACAACGAGGAAAACCACGAAAACCACAACGAATTTAGCAGGACGCTTGACCGGATAAGGCGCATGGCGCGAAGCGGGTGCGAAGGCAAGAGGGCGTGGTCGGCTGGCGCGCCTTGACTGCATTTGAATGCAGCGCTGGACAATCCAAAACGAAATGGCGACTCGTTGGCCAGTGAAGTGTGACAGGCAAAACAAAAACTGACTAAAAGAATGCGCCAAAAATTAAGCATACGCCGCGTGGGCGAATAGCGGATAGAGAAAAAACAAAATAGCAGATAATTCAGTATTCGATCGCAATGCCAAATCACATAATATATAAATATATATATATTTTTATATATATATACATATATTTGTATGTTTATGCATGTTTTAGAAGCAATGCGAAGCAAAATGCAAATGAAACCCACCGCAGCGCTGCTCTGCCATTAATTGGCAATTTATAGCAGAGCTAAACCACATCAGGCGGTCGCACCACCCGACAGCACCACCAAACTCCATTTTCACGTGCGCGCTCAAGTGAAAATTATCATTTCCAGCTACTGAATCTCTCATACAGCCGCAAAACAAGAGCCAATGCTATAAAAATGTACATAGAAAGCGACACTCGGCCAGCAGCAAGAGAACAAAAAATAAAAATAAAAGAAGAAAAGTCGCCAAACTTTAGCCGCGAGCAAACCGTCCATGACGACCACAGAAGGCGACACCCCAAAACAGTTCCGACAAAAGCAGAAAAAATAAACATGAAAGGCCAGGGTTTATTTTAATGGATATATCGAATATATAATGCTCTTTACTTAAATGGAACATGGATGTTTTATGACGAAAAAAATTTAATTTTTTTTAATAATATAATTTAATCCATGTGTACATTTCAGTTTTATGCACAAAATTAAAAAAAAAATTGAATTAATTCAAGATCACATAATTTAGCTATAATTGTGTCTGAAACTATTATTCAATTTATTATAAAATATTTCAACAAATAAATATTTATATATATTATATACTTTTCATAAAATAAAAAAAAGAAAATAAAAATTTGTATTTTATATATTAATATTATTCATTCTTCTAATCGTAAGCTTCTTAAGCTTAAGAGTTAATTTTCATTTTTTATTATTTACAACAATAATTGGCAGTAAAATTCTTAACTAAAATTTAAACTTTAAGCTATTCAGAGTAAAATATACTTAACATTTATAACAAGGAAAAATGTTATTGTATATAAAAAGAAAATTGTTCAAAGCAGTTCTTGTATTTAAATGAACAACTGATTCTGTCGCATTTCGAACTACCTAAGTAAGACGAAGTCCGGCACATTCCCACTGATATGTTAAGTAGATCTACTACCGATAAAGAGTATAGAGCCCACCCAGTCGGCGATTTATCGCATTTTGCTGTGGTCGGCATTAGTTACGCTGAATTTTATCACAATTGCAATTCTTTTTGGACCCGGTCCCAGACCCGCCAAAAAGGATTTTTTTGGTCTGCAGCCAAGCCAAAGAGGTGGTTGGAAATGCGAATGATGATTAAGATGAAAATAGAAATGAAAATGGAAATGGAAAATTCGCCGCTGCCTTGGCAACTGACCGAGCGTCGAGCGTTGCTAATTTCCACGTTTCGCCTTTAAATATAATCATAATTTGGTCTGATTTTTGCTTTGTTGCCGCTGTAAATGATTAACGCCGTGAGGCTTTTGGCCACTCTGGAAGTGTGGGCGTGGAATGCGACCGTATGACCGTTTAACTTATGCCGCCAACGCAGCCTTCAGTTTCAGATTCCTGCCATTCGAATGGGTTCTTTAAAGTGCTGCAAATTTCCTAAATTGAAGAAAAAGATGAAAATATATATATATATATATATATATATATTAAATGAATTTCATATTCTTGAAGCCTGATTGCTCATTAGCACATTCATTTGGCTGCACTCCAGCGAGAGCGCTTAGCTCTCATGGCAGCCGCCCATACGACCCTAGCTGATAACTCGAAAGCATTTGCAGCGCCGCGTTGAGTGCGCGTGGGGCAGGAAATGTTCTTAAATACTATGAAGGCAGCTAATAAATACTCTATTTTCTCAAAATAGAAAGGTTTATAGAAGGAAAGTTAACGCAGAATAATGTTGACAAGAGTGATTTTTGAAGGGGGATCAAAAAATTGAGGTAAGATCTTTGTAATTATTATTTATTAAATTCACTCATAGTTATACTCATACACGAAACATAAGCTAACAAATGTAATAAGAAATCTGCAAGATATGCTTAAATACATTTAATTTTTCGGCCCCATATCACAGCTCGGTTTATACTTAGGTGCATACAACAAAAATTGAGGTTTAGTTCTCGATGATAGTCTCTGTATTAGTTGATTATGTAGTAATCAATATAGGCCCTATTATGCATTTTGGAGAATCTGGTTTCTAAAACTAAATATCACAAGAACTGCAATAGAAGTTGGGAACATTGTATAAAATTTATCAACAGTTGCACAAACTTTATTAGTAATTGGAAAAACTTGTTGGCAATTTGAATATTTTCAGTGTATTTGCAAATTGGAAAATGCAAAAATGCTTCAAAATTATCATTTTGTTGGCCTAATGACTTGTGCAAAATGTCGCGGTGTTAAGAGATACTTGGCGAGCTGCTTAGCATGGCAGCTGCGAAATGCTGAATGTGGATTGGATGCTATATGCCGCATGCTCCACTGAAGAACCTCTCCCAGTTGCCAACTTGGCTGGGGCTGAGCGTAAAATGTTTGCTTAATTGTCAAAATTTGTGTTGCTGCTGCAGGGGAAACTATCCAAAGACCACAAAGTCGCTTAGGGAGACGCCAAGGATGGGGCATCATGGCTCATGATGAGGGATGAGCATTAACCCAGTTAACCCATTAAAGCCGTGTCATAAATTCAAAGCCCACAGCACAACAACAGAGTCAGCAACAACAACAACAGCCACGCTGGCGCTTGCTTTGTGGCTTTTTGTGGCCAGGCTTGGCACCGTTTTTCGACTCATTAAAGCCAACTTTACGCAATTAGCCTAATAAGCCGCCCCGAAGTAGGCTACAAAAAACCGAACAAGCAACAGCGAGACGCAAAAGCAAAAACAGAAACAGTAGCAGACACAGCCGCCACCTCGCAATTTTACAACACTTTTGGGCTCATTTCGCATTTTCGCTCAATTAAATTAATTAAATGACAGCTCAAATATGCAGCGAGTCCGAGCTGTGGAGATGACCCAACTGATGAGCCTTCGGTGTGGCAAAAGGAACAAAATTGGGATATAGCTAATAGTCGCAAAATTATGCGTGCAATTCTGCGAGCAAAAGATCGTATATAAAATACCCTACAAACAAAATTAGTAAAATTCAGAATTTTAAAATAAAATTGTGAAAGCAAAGGGATGACTATGAGTGGAAGTATACCAAAATATATATATTTATATATAGATATAAACAAATATATTGGGATATTATTTATCCCTATCCTTTAGCCTGGACATTATGGAACGTCGACCATTTACTAAAACGAAAAAATTTTAATGCGCAGCAAATTTTATTTATATTCACTCAAAATTCAGACAAATACATATATCACACTATACATATATCACACTACTACTTGACATTAAGATTTTGAATTAAGCTATTTTCCCATAATTCAATCATCTTAACTCGTCAATTAACGAAAAATTTTGAGAAACGTAACAAAGGCAACAGCCAAACAATTAAAAAAAAATTGAAATTAAAATCATTTTTCTCAAAATTAGAAAGTAGACCAATATGGCTATCTACTTGTTATCCGGGCAGGCCATCTGATAAAGGAACTGTATGATGGTACGGGTGGGACGACCCGTCATTCGGTCTCGCAGCAAATATGGCAACGGAGCATGCTGAGTTACCATGCCAACGTTGCGTATGTCCAGATGCGCCCAGTCCACGCACGGCACCAGCTCGTGGAGTATAGCAGCAGCGATGCAGCTGGAGGCGGGCCCGCGACCTCGATTGTTGATGTCGTAGGTAACATTGGGCGAGATCAGACGCTTAAAGTAATTCCATAAAGGCAGACGCCATACACGATCGCCAGTCAGCCCTCCGGCCTTCTCGAATTGCTTGAAAACAAAGTTCGAATTGCTGAAAATTCCCGCTGCACTGCCGCCAAGACCATAGCAAACGCCATAGCCTAGCGTAGCGATATCCACAACGAGCCGTGGCTTAAAACTGGCTTGTGCATAGAGCAGCGGATCAGCCATGACCACTACTCCAGCGTGGCTCACATCCTTGATGCCCATTGTCTTGCCGTTCAGCAGCGTAATCACATCGCCAGGCTTGACAGCCATTCCCGACGGCATATTCTCGCAGAGCGGCAGCACAGCGCTTATGTTCAAAGGCAGCGACAGTGCTGCTGCGGCCCGTATGGTAGCCACGCAGACAGCGGCGCCGGCCATACAACCGCGATAGACTTGCATGCATTTCTTGGGGTGCAGGCAGAGGCCGCCGCTATTGTATGTAAGGCCCTTGCCCACCAACAAGATGGGCTTGTCCTCGGGCGCCGTACCACAGTAATTGACCTCCAGTACAACGGGTGGTTCACAACTGCCTTTGGCGATCATTAGGAACGAGTTGAGATGATTCTCCTCGATCCAGTCCATTGAACGTATGTCTACGCTAACACCGCACGGACACAGCGCATCTACAGTGGACTGTGCGAATATAGTCGGAGTCATCTGGTTGGCCGGTGCATCGCTCAGGCGTCTGGCCAAGTTCTGAGACTCGGCTTTGAAAAGGCCACGTGTCCAGGCATCCACTTCAGGAGAATCGTACAGCTCCAGTTTGGGAATTTGTGTACGATCCTGTTTCCGGCGATTGCTGTTGTAACGCCAAATGGCCAAAGCGCTTCCCTCAGCTGCTTGCTCTGGATATTCCATAGAATCCACAAAAACATCCGTCACACCCTGAAGTTGTAAAGCTCGAGCACCAACTCCAGAGGCGACACGTGCATTTTCCATGCCCTCGTCAAGCATTTCCATATCATTATAGCCGGCCCCCTCCTGACCAAGCCCCACAACGGCAACGGCACTGAACTCCGGGTCCACATTCATGAAAACCATGCCCTTGCCCAGCTCACCTTTCATATGCATCTCGCGCACCAAATCGGAGATTTTTCCTTGAGCCCGATCATCAAACTTTTCACCGCTGGACGTCAGCTTGGGCTCACGTTCGCCCTCTTTGGTGTAGACGCCTATCACAACACCCTTAACTACGCTGCCTTCATCGCACTTAACCGCGAAATGCCGAACCTGCTGATTAGTAGATGATCTACCTATTCCGTCAGACATCCGAATGTCGTCCTTCCAAGAACTAGTCAGGCGAATTCGCTTGTAAAAATTCACATTTTTATGGAACGCAATGGACACACGATTTACAAACATCATTTTGTTTAGTCTTTAAAAGTTTACGTTAGCTATGAACTATATTAGAAGTGTGTAGTTGTAACCTCTTCCGAAAATTTTCCTGATACGAATGCGAACACACGTGTATTAAGCCCTAATGAATACTATATAATAAGTTGACAAAACTAACTTGGCCTCCTTAAGTAAACAAATTAGGCATGTCATGAGAAACAAATGTCAGGTTTTTGAAATAGGCTAATGACAGCGGCTAGATTCGATGAAAATGGATTTTGTAACAATTACTTTTATGGTGACTGATATTTTATGATTTTGCCGATATATTCGACTTTTCATTTTTTAAAGACTAATAAAATGTTGCTTATATAAAACATTTATATACAGACAAAACACGTTGTGCATACAGTTTAACACAATATAGTCCGAGCACATATAGCCAATATTTGATAAGATTGTTTAATTTAGCATTTGAAAAACTTTCAACATAAACATTATAAATGGGAAAGCATATTCTTATTCTTCGTCGGAGTCCTGTTGACTATTGGGTTTCAGGCCACCGAAGACCTTGGCAGGTATTGCTTTCTGTTCGAAACGCAACTTCTTCATGATGAGACCCTCGTTATCAGTTGCTGTTGCTGCAGCTGTGTCGCCTTCTGGAGCCTGTTCTGCAGCATCTTCTGCCTCATCATCTTCATCTTCCTCATCGCTATCGCCGATATCAATCTCATCAGGATTAATGACAGTATTGTCCTTGGTCTTGGAACCGCCCTGCGTTTCGCCACGCACAAACATTATATTTGAGGCAGCCTTTTCGGCTGGCTTCTGCTTAGCTTCAGCTGCCGCTTGTCGCGCCTTCTCCTCCAACATACGCATGGCATCAGAGCCAGAGCCAGCGCCTGCATCGGCTGCAGCGCCATTATTCGTATTGAGAAATTGAGCAGCCATCATGTTGACCTGTGTGTTGTATGTGGCCTGAACAGAGCGCTTGATACGCAACATCTCACGCATTGTGTCTTCGTTACCGTGACGCACTTCAAACTCTTTCCATGTTTGCCAGAAATCGGCGGTAATACGAGGATCGCAAACCTTTAGACGATATAGAATGTTAAATTGTATACATAATTGGCTAATTCGCACACTACTTACTTGCGAGCAATGTGAATAGATGGCTCTGGCACGGTCTACCTCGCCGAGCTTTGTTTCCAGCTCTGCAAACTTGACACACATGTGCCGCATATTCTGCTCCGGCAGTGCCTCGATAGCCTTTTCATAGATCTCACGTGTGCGTGGTAGTCCATAAATTTCGGCTGCCTTTTTGATAAATATGTTGTACATATCGAACATCTCCTCCTCTTTGACAGCACTGGTAGCGCGATCATAAACGGCCATGGCATGTCGCGCCAGCCCGTGTTCTTCTTCCAGCTTGGCATAGAGCAAGTAGAAATACTTGGCATGCTCCGGCGGACAATTATCCAGACACTGCTCAAAAAGATCGCGAGCACGCTCCAGTTTGGAGCCACCATATCTTTTCAGAAATTTGCTCAGATACGAATTCCAAATGTCGTAGACATTCGGCCATTTGAACAGCGCAATACCCTTTTCGTAGGCACGATAGGCTTCCTCATAGTAGTTGTGCTCTTCCAGAAACAAGCCGTAATTGATGATTATTTGTGGCGTGCAAATCTTAAGGTCAATGATACGCTCGTAAACGGCCTTGCAAGTTTTGAAAGTGCCAAAGGACTCCTCCAAATCTGCGTACATAGACCAAACTTTGAGTGATTTATACAGACGCATTTGCACCGTTTCCGTCTCATCATGATAGGCAACCTTTCGCTTTGGCATTGCCGTAGCGCGTTGCATTAACTTCAGTGCAGCTTCAAATTGCTGCTGACGCAGTTCCAATTCGGCCCACTCGCACCACACCGCTGCCAAGTGTTCCACCTTAACGTATTCCACTTGCGTACCGCGTTCAAAGACTACACGTGCATCCTCTACCTGTCCATTTTCCTCGTAGAACTTGGCAAACTCCACCCACAACGTGTGCAGCTGGCCGACTGCTTGCTTCGGCTGCACCGTCTGCACGGCCTCCGTATAGGTGTTTATGATCTCCTCTGGTTTATCCTCATAGAGTTTGATTCGCTTGTGCCATTCATGCACATTATGAGGATTCTGGCGTAGCAACACGCTGTTTAGCAGCAGCAGACGGCGCTCCATTAGATACTCGAAGCGCGAAAGACGCAACTCAACATCAATGTCATCTTCCTCGTTTGCGTCCTCATCGTTGGCAACCTGCTCCATGCGTTTGTTCAACGACAGCTCTTCAAACTGCGCATACTCATCGAAAACTTGAGTGAAGTCTCGAACCGTCGTCACTGTTTGTATTGCCTCCTCATAGATGTCGCGCGCACGATCAAACAAGCCTGACCGTACATAATAATCAGCCAGGGAGTTCCAGAGGTGCCCTAACTGATCCGTGTATCGACGTAAGCCACCACGAATAATTGCATCCACATTCAATGAATGCACCTTGTGCGGATGCTTCGATATTAGATCGCAGAGCTCGTTCCACAGTTGATGATTTGACTTGCCGTGCTTCGACACAAAATGTTCGTTGTCCACAATGTGAGCGAGTTGCTGGGCAGCCTCATCCAAGCGTTGTGCCTCCTACCAAAATAGAATCATGATGTAAAAATCAATATTTTCTATTAAAAGACTGTCTTTCACCTGTAAGTAGGCCACATACTCCTCTGCATCCTCGGGAAACAGTTTCAGATAGCGCCTGTAGACGCGTAACGCCGTCTCAGGCATTTCATAACGCTGCACGAATTTCAGAAACAGCGGCCAAATGCGTCCATGCTGTGTAATGGGCAATGCACGCAGCGCACGATCGAAAACATGGCGGGTACGCGTAATTCGACATTGCGAGCTCATGAATACTCCATAGTCCATCCAAATACGAGGCATCTTGTGCATGAAGACCAGTGCGCGCTCAAATGTGTTGTTCACCTGCTCGTACATGGGATCTGTTGGTATGCGGCCACGCACCTGCTTCCTGCGCGTACGCAAATAGTTGTACCAGATTTTGTAGCTGCCAGGCAGCTCCTTCAGTGCCCGTTCATACACCAAATTAACGCCATTGTTGGGCGCTTTGGCCTTGTGATCTATGTAACGCAGCCAGTGCTTCACGGAATATGCATTGCGAAGAATCTCCTCTTCATACGGCACATCCTCCTCGTCCTAAAAACACGTAATTAGCAAAGTGCTTAAGTATATAGCCGTTATATACTTACGAAATTGAGTTCAATTTGCAGCGCTGGTGTTGATTTTTCCCCCATTTTGCTTTTATTTGCAAATAATACACCAAAAGCCGCAAAACGTTTGCATGCGCGTCTTCTATCAGCTGTTAACACACAGCGTTGCCACCTTAACGAAAATGAAACTAAAAATTCTGTTGAAATAGTAAATACAACTTAAGCGACAACCCTACAGTATTGTAAAATGCAAAACCAACAGTGTTGAATAGCCGCACGCGGCATCTTTTTGGCGGCCATCACAACGCAGAACTGAAAGTCGCAAGCTAAAACGCATAACTTAATGTGTTGACAAAAAACGCGCATTTAGATTTAAATAATAAGAAACTAAACAATTTGAAAATGTCCACAAGCGCTGCACGAGTTTACATACAAGTAGAGAGCGAGGCCGAGCAGCAGGAGCATCTTAAGCAACAACGTAAAACATTAAAGCCCTTACAGGCTAACGCGAACGCTAACGACAAGGAGAATTTAACGGGACTCGGCGGACGCGTCTCCATCGTGGATCAGCTCAGTCGTTTAAAAGCCGGCGTCAATGTAACGCCCAAATATGGAAAACGCAAATGCGTCGATACAGCTGTCACAACAACAATAACAACGCAGGACGCCGATACACAGACCGAAGAATTCGCGTCCACCAACGATGCAGAGAAGCCCATCACAGCGGATGATCTGACAAGCGAGAGCGAACCGGGTGAGAACTACTACAAACTGCTCTCTGAGCAGCGACGCGTAGCTCTAGAGGAGACCCTCAACGAAAACCGCCATTTGCACGAGCGCATCGAAGGACTCGAGGAAGAAATGGACACAATGCGCAAAGAACTAGACGAGGCTAAGACGCTGGTGGAAGTGCTCAAAGAGATATGCGACGAGGAAGAAAATGATGAACAGACGCACTCAGAGGATGTACACGAATAGTTATATGAAATGCTAAATAACCAATAAATATATTTTTTATGTTTTTAAGTCATATTATATTTTGAAAGTAGCAGTAGTTAATTCATTTCAATTTTCTTAACTTATACATTTACTATTATTATTATTATTATTATTATTATATATGCAACATTCAACCCAATGGACTGGTCTCAATGTACGCCAGCAATAAATATACTAGTTAATGCGCCAGTTTTGTTCCAATAAAAATTGTTTCTGTATCTTGCACATATTTTCATTCACTTTAGCCAGTCGGTGATTATTTCCTCGCTGTGAAATGTCTCCACATCGAACTGTAAGAGAAATGTATAACATATGCAATATATAATTACATATAAATACGCACCGCATCTGTGGATACCTCAATGCACTCCTCGTACTTGGGCACAGCACCCATTACGTCCACATCATTCGCGGCTGCATCTAGATAGGCTGAATCGGCCTTAGCTGCTGCGATGAGCACCGCCGTCTCAGTGTCTGGAACAATGATCTCCTCGTCGTCGTCATCTTCCGGAGCAGGCACTTTGGCTAATCGTGTGTCCGCGTCGTCCGGATGACCATGGGCGGCTTTCATGTGCAGACGTAGAGGAAACGGACGTGCATACTCTGCACCACAAGTAACGCACCAATATTTGTTGGACAGCTGTTGGCTCTTGATGGCAGCATTGCTGATGCTCTTCGCGTCGCCTGTTCTGTGAGTCGACATGTGCGCTTTGACAGCATACAGCGAGGCAAAGGGACGATTGCAGACGGCGCATTGATACGGCTTCGTGTGCGTATTCTTATGGGCATAGAGCTGTACAGAGGTGCGAAAGGATTTCGGGCAGCTATCGCAAACATACAGACGATCCGAGCTGTGAATGCGCAAATGATGCGAGTAAACCTGATGCGATTTAAATCTGCAATACGAAAAGAAACGCAATTAAATTGAGCATATGAGAAAGTCTAGCTCCAGAACTCACCGCTTGTTGCACGTGGTACACACATAGGGTCGTATGTTAGTGTGTGTACGCAGGTGTAGGGTTAATGAGTAGGAGACACGAAAGGTTTTTCCGCACACCTCGCAACTATACGGCTTTTCACCCGTATGGACGCGCTCGTGCTTCACTTTCTCGTAGGGGCGAGAGAAGACACGCTCACAGTATTGGCAGGCAAATCCTGGCTTATCCTTGTTCACATTGGCGGGCTTTTTATTGGCATTGCTATTGCTGTTCAGAGCATGACGTTCATGAATCTTCAAATGCACCTCATAGTTTGTCACGTTTTCAAATTTGCGATTACAAGTGCCGCACAGAAACTGCTGCTGGCTCTGATGCATCTGTTTGTGCACAGTCAACAGGTTCTGCTCAAAGCTGTAAAAGAGTTAGTAAATTGAATTAATTATTAACTAATTGAGCTACCGAAACTTGGAATTAAGAGAAGGCATTCCTGATATACAAGTTAGCATAAAGACTCCTTATCTGAATTATCAAAAATATAGACCGACCTCTTATTGCAAATCTCACAATAAAACTGATCCAACTCGCTGTACTGCTGATGTGCACCCACGGGTAACGCATCCTGTATGGACTTTGAGGCACGTTTGTTGTGAATGCGCATATGAAATTTAAGGCATTTGGCCGAGCTGAATTGCGTTTTACAAATGTCGCAAACTGTGGTGCTGTTGTTGTTGTTGCTGGAAGCTGTTGTAGCTGCACCTTTTCGGCGCATTGGTGTCTGGGCTTTGGATAATTTGGTGTTGTTGTTTTTGCTGCGTGCTTCACCATTTGCTTCGGCCTGTGGGCAACTATGGTCCTCGGCGCTCTGGCGAGTCTCGAATATGCTGTGACAATCGAAACAAAAATAACGTTCTGATTTGTTAGGCAGTTCCTCAGCCTCTGCCTCAGCTTCGGTTGCGATTTCGGCTTCATTGTGGACTTCTGGTTCGGTTGTGTGCACTAGCTCGTCATCATCCAGTACCTCCCAAAGCTGCGGTTCGCTGGCCTCATCTAACTCCTCAATCAAGTCATCCTCGACGACCATGGAATCAATATCTATTGAGTTGTCCTCAAACTCATCTTTAATTTCAACAGCGGGCACCGTAACTTTAGATCTGGCCTCGACAGTAGCCGAACATCCATTGGGGCCACTGTGCGCCTGGTTGTACGATTCGATGCTGTCAAAGTCATTGTTGCAATCTTCACAATAATATATTTCATCCGCACACGTATCAATTATGAAATGGTCAACATTGCTTTGTTTTTGTTCGTCCACGTGCGAGTTCGGAGTTATTCCGTATTGTTTCCCACTGAGTCCTGTTAATTAGTATTGTGAGCAGTCGCGGAGATTAATGCTTTCAAGAATTACGCACCTGACATCGCATTTTTTCGCCTTGAACGCTAGAATAATATATTTTGCTGTCAGTGCCTACATATGTGTAGTCCACTTAATTCTTGTCACAAATATGACCCAAATATCGATGAAGCACGAAAACGATACTTGACAATCGATTTATCATCGATTGCTTATACCGATAGTTTGCTAACGTACCACTGTTAGCTGCACATAGTCACTCTCTGTAGTCGCTCTGTTAACTTCAAGTAACGTTTATTCCATTCAAATTGATACAAATTAATTAAGTTTTTTGTAATTTATTTGCTCTATGTGATTGGCACTAAGTTAGGCATATGTACAAAAACAATATAACAAGTATCAATATCAATATCAATATCAAACATTAAACAGATCTCTTTACAAGCTATTAAACGACTTTAAGCAGGAATGATTACAAGTTTATCTCACTGACTGACTACAGGGTACAATTAGAACTAAAAATGACCCGAAACTAAAATAACAACGAATACAGCTGACAGCCAATACGTTTGCAAACATTCGAAACGACATAGGCGCCAGCCGAAACGGTCACGAACAATGTCAGCCAGCCAAGAAATGTAAATTCCCCGACACGCGGCCGTATATGCTGCTGCAGACCCAACCAGCCGCCATTGTCGATCAGCCAGTAGACCAGGTCATCCTCAATAATCTCAGCCAAGCCGTCCACCAGGGTCTGCAAGTAATCATAGTGGCCCTGGCGGACACAGTCGATGGCGAAGCCGCCACAGACGGAGAATATCGAGATGATTTTGCCCCACGTAATGCTCGAGCGAAAGAGATCCTTGGCCACCAGATTGAGCAGCATTGGCGCCATATCGCTATCCTCCAGCTCACCAAAGGGCGCACGTGACAGCTGCCTGGAGATGTTCGTATAGACACGCGGATGCATGCGCTCCAGTTCCTCGCCCATCTACATGAGAAATAAAAAAAGCGTTGAAAAAGAGATCGAATAAATAAAGCAGGTATACGTACGCTATTGAGCGCTGGAAACACCTCGTAGACAACATGTGACGATGGTTCCAGTATGTTGCGTAGTCTTTGTATCACCTTGCGATTGAGTACCCCGGCACGTCGCAGCCGCGCTCTTATGTACTGCCCGCACAGGCATTTGCCCTGGCAAATAGACAAAGAATATAACGAAGTTCAATTAATAAATAACCAATTCGATCAAATCAATTTAGCTGATAGTTGTTCGTAGCTTTGATCTTTCGCACATGGACCCATCAGTGCCAAGAGGGCCGCGCTGCGAAGGTGTATCCATCAATTGCTAGTCAAAATTTCCGCTTATCCGGAATCGCATAATTTATGATATCTGGAAACAATTCTAAAATACATTTCGAGTTCGTCTATTTTCATTTTCGAGCTGCTTTGTTTGGGTTTGTCGGCGCGCCGGCATTGGAAAATTGTTTTTGTGGCACTTTTCAAGCAATTTCATTTCGGTTTAACTTTTGGCCAAAAACACAAAAAAAAAATTATGCTTGTCTGCGAATTTTGAGTGTTCGGCCAATCAGTGAACGAGTGACACCTGCTAAATTTCATTCACACATTTAACACACCTCAAGATAGTTCAAAATTTGAAAGCCAACGCAGCACATTAAATGCAGCTCTCGCAAAAATAATATAAACACAAGAAAAACAAAGAGTTCACAATCAAATTTGCTCAGCTATGAGATATTGTGTATTAAGTTAGTTTGTTTGCTTATCTTAGTCTAGAATATGAATTCGAATTTGACTTTTGAATGTACTAAGTTCTCTGGTTAATAACGAGGATTCGTTTCTCTCTGAGTTCAGTTTCTTAATCACAATTTACATCGTTAACTCTACATTTATAATCATGAAGATATCTTAAAATTCTAAAAAAACGGACTCTTCGAGAGATTCACGCTCTTCCATAATATACATATCATTATCTTGTTGTTAGACACGCACACACACCTTACTTACTCAGACAATCTAACACCACACCTAAGTAGAACAGGGTATTTGGCACTATACTTTATTTAGTGCAGAAGGAAAGAAATTGGAAATGTTTATAGAGATGTGTGTTAACCATTAGCTAATAAAATCCTAAACAGATTCAACAAACCGTGTGTTGGACTACCAATACTAAAGGTCGGGTACATATGCGCAGACTTAACATAAGAAACGAATAGTCAGTTAAGCGAATTTCCACCAAGATCTTTTGGCTGCACTTAGATAGTTTAATAATTTTACATTGAGCAAACTTAATAATAAATAGTGTTTTTATTTTGATTCAAGAGCCGACAAAAAGAGTGCATAAGATACCCGTATTAGTATTCGCTAACCTTAGCAATGCAATTCACAACTAGTTATAGCTGAAGACGCGTAGCAACTGCAACTGCGAGTCGATAGAGTTGGTAGCAAAGTCTGCTGATGATAGCAATCAAAGGTTATCGGAAACAGCCTGCGCACTTTTCGGCTACTTATACCCAGCATACGTTTATATAGAACCAAATAGTAATAGTTAAGTAAAGCCTGTTAAATAACTGATGTTGTAGGCATTATCTAATAATCTCCATAAAAAATATTAATTTTAATGAATATGTTGGCCTACTTTGTAATTTAAATAATACAAATGACTGAATTGGCTTCCTCACTTAAAGTCAGCGCCAATGCTTATCGAGCACGCCTTCTACATAGACTCTACACTAGACAAACACAGAAGTATCTATGAAACACGTGTCTACAGTGTTGTCTATTTTGTATGTCTGTGTCTGTGCCTGTTACTGTGATAGATGTCTGTTTAATTGACAATGTCAGGCCGCTAGCAATTGTTATCGACACTCGTTAAATTATATTTATTTCGCACAATTATCATTTGTCATGGCAGCGAACAGAAATTCACAAATTGGCGCCAACTTGACATATGACATTGCCGAAAAAGACTCGACACGGCCTTGGCTGAATCGGGGTATTGAAATGTTGACAAGTCTATTGAATGTTGTTTGCACTCAATAGCTATTGCCCAACTCTTCCCACATGGGGTTTATCAACCTGTTGTGGCGTGTGCTTACGTTAAATGCTCTTTGGGCCATAAATCTATCCAATTTGTTTATGCCACGCACTCTCCAAACGCCGACATAATTATTACCACCTGAAGAGCTAAATGCTTGCATGTTTTTCTTTCAATTGCCAGCTCCATGAATCCATCACCCCCAAACTCAATTGGCGGCGAGTATTGCGAAATCTATAAATAGCAACAGTTTTTCGCTCTCCTTTTTACTTTTTAGTCAAATTTTGTAGTGCTTGCAGCTGTTTGGATATCTTGATTTTATTTTATTTTTTGTTAGAGCGAACTATTTGTTTACATTACCCTTGGGCCTTGGTGTTTGGGGTTTTTCTTATAAATTATTTTTTGATAATTTTGTGCTTTTAATATAGTTTAACAGGAACAGAAACATTATATTTTATATTTATCTGTTCATTGGAAGCCTTTAAACATAAAATAATTAATTTTTATGAATTTTTTATAGATTTTTTTAGTTGTCTTAGAGACAAATTTCAATGAGCAATTTTTGTTTTATCTATTTCAATATAACTAAAAAATGATATATATTGACTTTTGCTTCAGTTTTATCTGAAAGCTGACGAGCCAAGCTACGGTACCCGCATTCTCAAGTTAGCAAGCTCAACATGTTTTATCAACGAATGGTCAACAAATGGGGGAAAAATTCGCAACTCTAGCCGTAGGGTAAATATTTCTAAATAATTAAATGGCAAGCAAAAAATAAATAATAAAAAAGTGTAAACATTTTTCACGTTGAAAAGCCAGCCATATTAAGTTTTTTATTTTGTTATCAGCCGAGATAAACAAATTGTTAAAAGAGAAGAAAAAACAATATAAATAAATAAACTTCTATACAATATACATACATTTCTATAAATATAGATACGAGGTTACCCTATCAATTAAACGTCTAAAGAGGGCTTATGTAATGCTCGTCCACGCCCACTAATTGGGTAATTTTTAAAAATTTCATTAAACTTTAAACAGCAACAATACTGATACCACCAACTGCTGGTGGTTATTTACCGAAATTTATACCAAAATATATAAATATTCAATTTGTTTACACAGCTTTTCGCCTTTTACCCTGTTGTCTCGAAATGCTTAAAAAGAGGAGTATTTTATCTCCGAATGCCACAGACTAGATAGAGTACATAGAACATACAGTATAAGTTCCATGAAATGGATATGGAATGTGGAAGATACAAAAAAGACTACCTAAAGTATATACAGAATATAGAATAGAATAGCATATACAAGTTTTAGTATAACTTTTCTAAATTAACTGTAAAGTATATAATATATTGAACAACCATAAATTAAGTATAGAATATGGATGTATATTTTCTCTAAAATGCATATAAATTATAGAAAATATAATATAATTCCCTGCATTGCGCTCTCTCCAGTGCAGAGATGTAGGGAATATATACTCTCACATTATCACAGATGTGTCCTATAATTTTTTAATCTTAGGCATTACAAGATTTCCATTTTAACCATATCTTCTGCAAAATTTCTCGAAGTATTACATTAATAGCTTCGTAATCGGACAGCTGCATTGGCTCTACCTTTGCCTCGCTCACATAATTTAGTTAAATGCGTTTTCATATAGTTTCTATGGCTAACGTCTCCACGTCATTTGGAGCACATTCATACAAAATTCATTCATTATGAAAGCTAAACGCGTACCATTGACTAACTGTTTTACTCGTCAGCCTGTATATTCGCCAAAGTCAAGGTCGCGCTTACTTCTGACAGGGTCCAGGGAGGGCAAATGCTCATCTAATCTACGATTCTAATTCTCATTTCATTTGCTTGTGGTTTTGCAGTGCTTTGAAATGTTTTAAGTATTTATTAATAAATATTCGTCATTTTGCTCTACTTGATTTGCCTATTATGTACAGGGTATCTTTGCATCACACTCATTTTGCTTATCACTTTTTATCGCGCAACAGTTTGCGGACTTACCTGATTAATAATTTCCATTTTGTACTCCTGGTAGTTCGTCATGGTGCGTGTGCTGCTGGCCAGCGATGAGGTGGAGGCGGCGCGTGTCATGTGGCCGACCACGCCTCCTGGCTGGCCCGCTGCCGTGCTGCCCACATGAGGAGATCTGCCATTGAGCGGCGCACGTAAAGCTTTCCAGTCGCTGGCTGCGGTGGCGATGGTGCTCCGTCTATTTGCAGTATAGATCTCATTGTCCAGCGAGGAAGACTTGAACTTGGCCAGCTTGGGTGTGGGAGCTTTGTTGGCGGCGGCGGTAGTGGTGGTGGCGGTAGCTGCTGTGGTGGGTGCCATGGCCATAGTCATTTAGGCGATGCAAGGCAGGCGCAATGCTTCGCTGCAGCTGGACAATGGACCAAGCTTTGCTCTCTCTGTCTCTCTCCCTTTCTCTATCTTTAGGTTTTGCTTTTGCTGTTGCCCTTTCTATTGGTGCTGTTGTTGTTGTTGCAGTCTCCTCTGCCCCCACTTTGTGAGCTACAGCTTGCATGCAAGTTGTGTAAAAGTTGAGCTTTTATTATTACAATTTGCTGGGGCTGATTGTCGCCTTGCAATGAGCGCAGCTAGTTTTGCGCTTTTTTGGAGGTGGTTTGGCTTGATGAAATGTGCAAAACAAAATACAAAATCGAGAATAAATGTTGCGCCCAAAGCGTAGAGCAGGCAAACACACACACGAATAGCGCACACAAGAGAAAACAACTAAAAACTTGTTGTTGGTTGGTATTATTCGATTGATTTTCAAGCTGCTTCTGTTGCTTTCTTTTTGCTGTTGCTGTTATTGTTGTTGTTATTGTTCTTGTTGCCGTCTCGTTTGTTGTTGGTGCTGCCTTTATTTTACCTTTTATTTTATTTTTGCTGTGGCGCGTGTGTTTTTGTCGCTTTGCTTCACTTTGCTTTGAACTTTTAACCGAGAAATCTACGAAAAAAAACACAATAACAACTGTGTTGTGCAAACGTCGGGGGATTGCCGCTCTGTCTCGGTCACAATTTTAGCGGCCCCGATGTTCTAACGCGTGAGAGTGTGCGCCGTTAACTCAGCTGCTGTTTGCTGCTGCTGCTATTCGTTTGGCTGCGCTGCTCGCTTTGGGGCCGAGCTCCAAAAAAGCACGCAATGAAAAGCTCCCCAGAGCGAGACAGCCACAGCAGCCATGTACGATGCGTCTGTCGTCTTTGCATATGCACATAGTAATAGTTGGGCGCCAAACTTATTTGGTTTGCGCACTTCTCTTATGGAAACATTTTCAACTCTCCTTTTTAATTACAATTGAGTCTATTCAAAATATTCACATCTTTCGATATTTTCTCACATCGATAATATTTTAGAAAGCGATACTTAATTGCTACGCTCACAAAACTATCGATATTAACTGTACATATCAAGCGCAAATCAAAGAGAAAGTAAGATTACATTAAATTGATTCGAATCTTAAATCGTGCTCAGCTAATTAATAAACAATACTATTTTAAATTAACCTCACCTTGGTATTGACTCTGTCAGCAAAACTACAAATATTAACAAATCATTTAAAAATAGAGAAAGATACCTTAAAAATACTAGACGCGATATTTATTTACTAACTGTACTAAGGTCACACTGCAAAACGCCGGTAACTTTAAATATGTTATATAAATTTTAAGTTGGACTGCATTGTATTTTTCGATCAGCTCGTAAATCGTTGGTATATTTTAGGAATTAGTGTGTTAACAATAAAGCGCAAAAACATAAATAATAAAATCAGCCCAAATACTACACCGATTACCAGCGTGGTCCACTCCAAGGGATTTAAGCTATTGGTAGTAGGTAATACGTGTGTATTGATGCCACTCTAAAGAGATAAGAGATAAGACCTTTGTCAGATAGAAGTCTATACTATATAGAATATAAGCATTTCAATTTACCCAGCCACCGTTTTCGTTTATCCAAGGCACCAGCTCATCTTCAATAACTTCGGAAACGCTCTCCATAAGCTTTGGCAAATACTCGGGATGACCCTGGCGCACACAATCCACCGACAGACCACCGGCTATAGCAAACAATGAGATAACCTTGCTCCACGTGATCTCAACCCGAAACAGCTCACGACCCACTGCGCCCAGCAGCAGACTCACAGCATCTGGTGTATGAAACTCTCCGCCGGGATTGCGGCAAATCTGACGGGCGACACCATTATAGATGCGCGGATGCATGCGTTCCAGCTCATCGCCCAACTAGGGAATAGTTCAGATACAAATGACTATATTAATATAACACTCCATAAGCAATAGCAACCTAGCAAATAGACCTTAAGCAGACAATTCTCCCGGGCACTCACCACTTGCACCGCTGGGAAAACGTCTCTGACAATGCCCATAGTTGTGTTGCTGTTGCCCAATATGCTGCGAATGCGTTGCAGGCCCAGTTTCTTGTTGAAGAGTCCCGAGCGACGCAGCCGCCGCTTAATGTAGTGTCCACACAAACAGCGTCCCTGGATAAAAAAGCAAAGCTTTAATATATTGATTAACAGCGACAAAGATTCACTCGATGCCAAGCAAACTTTAAGCAGATCAAAAAAAAGAAACACACAAAATAAAGCTCAAAATAAATAATCGATAAGAAGCCAAAAGAATATTTATATGCTGGAATAAAGCGTCCATTTAAAATGTATGAAGGGGCTTAATTTATTTGTGCAAATTTATGTAACATAAAGAAGCTGGGATATTGGACACCAAAAGGTTTATAATAGAGATTAAAGTAAATCATATTTGACGGCGAAACATGCCATAAAAACTAATTTTAATATTTATAAAATTATTTTATTGTGCTAGCAACTTAAAGGAAATCAACTCGCAGGCGGAGCTATGATAGATATAGGCATGAAATCAGTTAATTATACTAGATTAAAATTATTCCGAACTTTAGCAGAAAGTTTATATATTCACTTCACTTTTAACTATATTTTTCTCTTCAAGATTTTATGCTACTAAAGATTTTAAAGAAATTATTCGTTTTTGTTTTTAAAAAGTAATATATATATAAATATATATATGTATATACATAAATATATATAAATTTAATGGTAAAGAATTTCCAACAAATCATTAAATTAACCCTTTATGTTAATAATTTGATAACGCCTATATAACATTGATTTTATTTTTACTTGCTTTAATCTCTTGTCTTAAATTTTGTCATAGAATCTGAAAGAGCCGAAACTAGTTTTTATATATTGTTTTATGCTGCACTTAAAACTTGCTTTCGCCTTTCTATTCCAGAAGCTCTGAGGCACTCACTGCACGGTAAGTAACTCGGCTCCTCGTTGATAAGTTTAAGTGAGTTTTTTTTTATATTTTTTGATATTCCTATAACTCCTAAGCAATCTAGACGCAACTGTTAATGAACGTGTTTTGTCGTAGTATAGGCGTACCTGTGTGATTATGTCTTGAGCAGGTATTTGAGCAGCTTTCCAGCCGATAGTGTAGGACAGTTTGCGGGTAACCACATCGCTGACGTTGCTGAGCCGCCGGCGGGTTGTCTCCCGCTGTCCGACCTCGAGCAGGGCAGCCGAATGGAGTGTGGCGGGAAAGCTGAACTTGCGACGATTCTGCGCCTGAAGCAGTCGCTCGGCTTGGGTCGTGACCATGGGAAAGCCGTTGCTGAAATTGTCATTGTTCGTTGGGAATGAGGTGCCTGGCATGATGGCGCGTCTGAGATCCTGCAAAAGATTTGGCATGAGTTGACGTGGCATAAATCAAACTGATTGCTGAGCACTAATTGCAGTCATCGATAGCCGATATACGATATACGATATCCGATACGCGCTTACTTTGTGCCTACTTTGGGCTTCATTAATTATTTTGGTGTCGCAAACTCGCTGTGTGTGTGTGTGGTGTGTGTGTTTTTGTATGTGGCGAGCGCTGCTCATGTTAAATCAATTAATTGCCATTCGATTTGGCTGATGTGGCAAATTTTTGCGCGTTGTTGTCAATCTTTTGGGTGCCGCTGCCCATGAGAGACTTTTATCTTGTATCTGTAGCTGTAGCTTTAGTTGTAACTGTGGCTATGTCTGTGTCTCCGGCTGTCGTTGGCTGGAAATGTTTTTTTTTTTTGGTATGGCCGTCAAGGCGAAAACCTGCTACAACAACAACCAATGCAACAACAATAACAACATTTTAAAGATCGCATAAGCCCCACAGTCAAACAATTATAATCAAAAATAATTGCCTCAAATCATAAATGTCATGCTGAAATTGCATTCAATTTATGAATGACATTATTAAATGACTTGAGCCGCAAGCCAGAAAATCCCTCATTAAGAGAGCAATGAAAATGGCTAATAAAAAAGGCAGAAGAATTGCAAGTTTATACAAAAATGGAGATGAAACTTCATTTTAACAAAGCCTAAAATAAATTCGTTTTCTCAATTTCTTGGGCATATATTATTAAATAATTTTTAGAAGCATTTATAATGCAGGTACTATGATTTAATAGTAATTCAATTAAATTATATATTATTGTGAAGAAATTAAAATGAAATTAAATTTTGATATCTAGCAAAATTAAGTCGAATTTCATATTGATTTCTTCCATACAGATTTGCTACCACATCAAACAGTAGACGATAGTAGTGGAGATAATAATTAGTATGTGCTTTTAGTATTTAATCTATAATGAAAAAGTAAATTATTTTTATATAGATAAACACAATTTGTTAATTATTTCTCACTATACAGGCCTTGCTGTCTTAGCCTAAGCTTGAGGGCTTAGAGCTTAGTGCTTAACTTCGCTGTGTAAAAGCTGTAGCCATAGAATTCTCAACTGGTTATAGCTTCGCAAGCGTAATGAAACTCTATAAAAACAAGCTACTTGCTTTTGCATGTTTAACCTTGTTATCGATGTCAAGGCTACTATATAACAAATTAGCAAATTTTGTTATTCTAAATTTGAGTCAAGCTTTTAAGCAATCGATTAACCTTTTAGCAGTTTATACACAATTCACATAAGAAACCAAAAAAAGAGAAATGGCTTATCATCTCTTAAATCAAACTAGCCTAGTTGTAGTTGCGGGAGAGTGCATTCCATGCCCGCATACCCTGTAATATTTAAGCCTTAATCTTTAATATTTAAGCCTTTGCCAATGCCAATGCCTTTAAAAGAGTTTTCAAAGATTAAATATCTCTTAAGCTGTATTGCGCTTCCCACACAAGAATCGCAAAGTTAGGTAAAGATGTAATCCAGTAAATTATAAAGCCTCCAGTGTGTATGTGGTGTCAGTTAAGCTTTTGTTTTGCTATTGTATTATTATTGTTGACTTTTTACTTTGCGCCACCTTTTTTGGGCACATTGAAAACGGCGACGTCGGCGTTGGGGGCTCGTTAAGCTTGATTGGCGGTCGCGTCTTTTTGTTTTGACCATTTCAAACGGATTTTCTGCAATCTGGCCAAAATGCTGTGAATGCGTGTTGTCATTAGTTGACCACAGGCGGCATGTCAAATGGCAAATGATTTGTGGATTGCAGCGGCTGCGACAAGTGAACCGAGCGAAGCCACAGACACGAGTGTCGAAGTGCTATCGTCTAGGGAGTACCACAGCAGCAATTAGTTTTACATAACCTGGCCCAATGAGCGCGCCTCCGTATCGTGATCAAGGAAAGTTGTCACAATCGATACAGCGAAATCGTGTGCGTTTCTCACATGGAAAGTAAATTTTGGCCACTAAAATAAACTGGGTTCTACATAGCGCGCCCATTTGGGTCATTCGAAATCACGATTATGCCACCTTAGCTTATAAAAGCCCGCCCACACATGGCTCGATCAGTTAGTGATTGTCAAGAATGTCAACCAATTGGACGTATTTGCTAATTGTCAGCTCTACCCTGCTGCTGCTGCTAGGTAAAGCCTGTGCGGACGTGGCTCACTTCTTTGCGGCACCCTCTGAGTTTGGCAGCTACTTGCATGGGCAGGTGCCCTTCCAGCTGGCGCTGCCTCAATATGGACCAGCTGCCGCAAGTCCTGTGACCCCAGCGCCTGTGGCTCCTGTAGCGCCTGCCACCACGGAGCTCAGCCTGCCGGAGATAATTGATAATCGCAGCAATGTCAAGAGTCTCAGCCAGGCACATGGCAATTTCATACCCCTGAGCCAGCATTATCTGCCACCGAGCAACGAGGAACGTCCCAGCTATGAGAGTCCGAAGCCCAGGTAATCTGAACTACAATTGTGAGACGCCTTGAGTCAACTGAGCAAGCAAGTTCCTTTAATCAGATATATTCTGGGAATATTCAGAGAATTAATTGGGCTTTAAGCTGATGATTTAGTTTTAAAACTTTCATTTACGTTTGACTACTTTTGCAATGCGTTAGCGATGAATTCGCTGGCTACTATTATCCACAGCCCAGTGCCAGCAGCACCACACGGATTCCCTCGACAACAACAACGCCGCGTCCCATCGTTGTGCAGGAACCCGGCGAGGATAACGACGATGAGCAACTGCCCGCCGCTGGCTACGATTACCATGCACCGCCGCAACGTCCCTCGACGCCAGCGCCCGTTTATCTGCCGCCAGCGGAGAGCAGCACACAGCATCAGCAGCTGAGATTGCGCATCAAGGACATGCGCTGCCTGCAGGCTGGCTACTTTAGAGCAATCCTCAAGCTGGACAGCTTTGTAGGCGCCGCACCGGTGCTGGACAACGACTACGACGAGTTGCCGGACAAGCATTGCGAGCTGAAGCTATCGCGCAGCTATCTGCTCCTGGACATAGCCGGCACAGACTTTGAGCGCTGCGGAGTGCGCAACTGCGGTCAGGACTTGTGCTTGCGACTGCGTTTCCCTACCATACGTGGACTGCGCACTGGCGGAGACTCCATCCTGACGCTGCACTGCAAGACGCAGGAACGTGTGGCAGTCAAGACGCACGCATTGAAAATGGGCGTGGCTAATGATGTGTAAGCAATTGCTCTACTCTGATCTGAATCTGAATATATATCTGCCCTCTACACAGCCAGGCACGCAGCGTTGGCAGCTATGCCCATGGCGGCACTCAGAATGCCTTTCGCACCCACGTGGAGCTCTTAAGACGTGGCAGCAACGGCTATACGCAGCATCTGGAGAGCAACGGTGCCGTGCAGCTGGGCGAGGAACTGTTGCTGCGTGCACATGTGTTGGCCGGCGATGGTGAGTCAATAGATTTAATAATATTAAGTGGAGAGCTGATCAATCAAGTAAAAATAAGAGTAAGAGTCAGAATCAAGAGAAGAAAGAAAAAATATAGAAAAGATAAAAAAAAATAAAATTAAAAGGAATATAACTTAAGGAAAAGGCAGCATCAGAGATGAGAAGAGTTCAAAAGACTTTGGAAATTACTTTAGATTACCAGATGAAAAACGAAGAGAAATGAAGTTTAGAAACGTGAACAAATTCTATTGTAAGGGAAGGGAGAAGAGTTGAGTAAATAGACAATGATTGATAAGAGATTGGGTAGGAGGCATGGAAAACGAACAGAAAAAAGAAGAAAAACCACAATTATAATATGAATCCAATCAAACAATCATAAATGAGATGCTGATGACAAAATCCGCACAAAAATATTTTTAAAAAAAATTCATTTCAATTTTCTATTGTATATTTACTGGAAAATTGAAATTGAATTTCAAATGCTTAACCGAAATTTTCCAACTAAGCTTATCTATTAAGTATCAAGCATAAAAGCACATTAAAGCTTTCAAGTGCATAAAGAGATTGTCTAGCTTTAAGCTCTCTGTCACATATATTTGCTCAGCATTCTTTATTCTTTACAATTAACTTAATATTTGAGAAAGTATTTTACTTATTTCCTTAAATATAAAAGCTCATTAAAGCATAACTTGAACTGACTCAAGTTTATGTAACGATTGTATACGATCTGCCACATTTCCCTATATGGAGTTAATAGTGCCCCTTGAATTGTCTCACTAACAGGCTGGAACTACACGAAGCTAAGTGACGTACAGCTGCAACGCATTTCAGCTGGTGGCGAGCTTTTGAATAGCGCTCAGCTGATCACGCCGCGTGGCTGCCTTAACCCAGCCATGCAGAGCATATGCGCGCATGCGCCCAGCGCGGAGCAGCCGTTGGGCCAGCGACTGCAGTTCAGAGCCGTCATGTTTCCGGGTATGCACAGCGGCGATGTGCTGGTCATGTCCATGCGCATAACGGGCTGTCTGGAGCGCGAGGATTGCCAGCTGACGGCGCAGGACTGCCAACCAGGCGTAGCCCAGCGACGACGACGGGACACCGATCTCCAGCCACATACCAATGGCACAGAGGCATCTGAACTTTCTCGCATCACGTTCAGAGTGATTATGCCGCACATGGAGCTGCAGGAGCAGCCAGCGAATGTAATTGACTTGGACACTGCGAACGTGACTGATAGCTCCAAGTCATTGGCATTGTTTGGAAGCGTCGGCTTTGTGGTGCTGCTGCTGGGTGTCGCTGTCGTAGCACTTTACAAAATGGGCAAATAGATTGATGACGATTGATGACCCAATTTACTTAACTTTTTCATTTGTTCAACAAAGCTTTTTTCTTGCTTTAGTCCATATTTCATACTTTATTTTTTAATCATAACTAAATAAATTGTTCGTTCTGTTTTATAAAGCAATGGCAAGTGCGTGTATTGCAAAATACATATTCTTAATCAGAACGACAAACTGAGTTGATCTAACCAAGTCCGACTGTCTGTATAGCTGTCATTATCAGCTCTGAAAATTTGATTTAGAAAGTTATTCACATTGTAAAGCGCATACTGCAGCCCTGCTCTTCGCAGTGTTCAGGGTAGCTGAAGTCGCTAAGCCACTTATTGCTTTACTCATATGATTTTCATTTAAGGTAACAATATCTTCGCATCTGAGCATGACCCAAATAAGTCTGTTCACCTTCCTTCTTTCTACCTTTCAGTTTATGCATCCTGACTCTTTACTGGCAGCTGCATTAACCACACCCATTCCACATTCGCTGGAATTGCATATTCGCCTACAGTCGAAAACCTTTTTAGCTGGCCAAACAGTGGCCGCACAATCTCTGGCGCCAATCTCAGCCAAGAGCAGCTCCTGAACACATACACAAAATAAAAAAGCCGAAAAAGTGTGCAACAAATTTGAACTTATCGGACGCGCGAAATCAGTGGCGGGCAAATGGCTGGCCATTTGGAGCTACCAAAACAGAAATTAGCACTTAATAAAATGTTATTTATGTTCATGTCGCTTGTAATTGGACGGCCTGAGAATGAAGCTGAAGCAAATCTCGAAACATGGCTCGGCGACTGATTACCAAACTGCGCGCAATTCAAAAATTGCGATCTGTCATTTTTATGGCCAGACGCGAAAACTGAAATTCTATCACGTTTTCACGCGTCGAGCACATTTTAATGAAACCAAATACGCAAAGAACTCGCTTTTGCTGTTTTAGCTTTGTTATTTGGTGCAATTTGTAGTCATTTCTTATGTTAATTCTCCGTTAGCAACTGCAACTGCAACTGCCACTGCAACAGCAAACTGAAGCCCAGCCACGAAATGGCATCCAATTAGCTGCTTGATTGACGGCCTAATACATCATGGGGGGTCACAGCCAACAGCTTTAAACAGTTATTGCTTTTAACAATTAGTGGCTCAGCTGCCAGCTGATTACGTGACATTAATTATTATATTTTTTTTATTTTTATTTTATTATTTTTATTTTGACTTGGCAACGTAGTCATCAGCAACATTAGATCTGAATCCATCGAAGCTAGCTACAATGTATTAGGATTAGTTACCAATTATTATATAATTAGTATTATTTATATAAGCTCACTAACTAATAGCCGTTAAAAACTATAACTTCTACAGATGTAGTACTTACTTGCTACAGATTTACAGCTAGGATCTTCAAGTCCCTTCACTACAGATTCGAATAGTTCATGAATTGATTAAGCCTGGCAAGTGGCCCGTTAAAACTATGAGCATTTGAATAAATTTAGCTAAGCGAGTATTGTGCGTTCTGCTACACCCGTGGACAGCGCTCTTACTTGTTTTAAGAACTAAAAACTGAACACCCTTTGATCAAGGCATGTAAAATCGTTTGTCAATTTTACAACTTATCTATAAATGACTGAGCATTAAAATAATACATTAATTAATCTATATGAGCTATATATCAAAGCAGGGAGAGTGAGAGAGAGGGAGAAAGAAAGAACGAGGGAGAAAGAAAGAACGAGGGAGAAAGAAATGTGGATACACAGAGAGGGGAGTGGGTGGGAGTGTGAGTACGAGCGGCTGAGCGAGAGAGAGAGTAAGAGAGAGACGAATAGAAAGTGGGGATAGAAGTAGTAAGAGATAGAGTGAGAATAAAGGATTGAGTGAGCGAGACAGAGAGGAAGAGAGAAAGTTTTTGCTTCGAGAGTTTATTTTGCATTTGCAATTCATTTAATTTTAAGTAGCTCTTTAGACAATATGTTCTAGATTTCAGCCTTAAATCTTAGCACTAACTGCATAAACTCTGTAGGAAGGTAGAAAATTGAAGTACTCATCGATAAGACGTCAAAACTCATGACAAATAACTAATGCAGAGTGCTGAAAAATATTTCATAATCTAACGACAATTGGCAAGTGCTGTAAAGCTTAGTTTCTAGAGAAAGTCGAGCTCCAAAGACGAAACGAATTCAACTTGTAAGATATGCAGAGGACTTGCAATCGAAATTCGTTTTGAAAGACTTCAGTTTAGATTTACTTGTCGATATGATTTAACATTGTTCATAAACGACTAAGTAGGCTCCTTAGTTTAAGTACTTTTTTTCTTGTTGCTGAATAGCTTTTGAAGCGGCATCAAATTTGTCAGAATTAACGGATTTAGCCATAAATATGAAACTTAAGCAAGTTAAATGACACGACTATCAGGTGAGTCGTGAAGTGCAGCTTGGATTGCGTGCTAGACTCTTGGAGTGACCTATGGAGTTCCCAGCGATAGCACATCTGTGGCACAGTCAGGCGACATTGTTGATCACATAACTGGCAAGTGGCATGCACCTTATGGGTCGCTTGGCTCTGCGGCCTACTCAGAGCTAATTAATAAAACCGACACGTTTGCAGCACAATCGCATGTGTTTCCAGACAACACAACATGGCTAGCCACTGCTACTTTGTCTTTGTCGCAAATGGCAGGCAAAATGTTTGCTTAGTGCACATAAATTAAGTGTCGAACAGTGCCGTCGCCGCGTCTAAGTCTGTCTCTGCCGTCCCCAACTGGCGCTTAACTTTGTAGTCAACGCACTGCGCTGCGGGCTAAGCAGCAATTTACACTCTTCATTCCGCAACCGAAGCGGCCAAATGACCACGCAAACCAGACCTAAAAAAATCACAATTTTCATGTCGTTTGCTCTCTTGTACTGCTTAAATTAGCGGCAAAGACTGCGACTTCGACTGCGACTGCGACTGCGACTACGACTACGACTACTTAGTGCCCAATTTAGCAACTCCCAATAAATATTTATGAATGCACTTTATTTTCATTTTCATCTTTAGTCAGTTTTAAGTTTTTAGTTTTCAGTAAACTGCAGCAGCTCTAACAGATAATTCTACTATGAATGACAACGATTTCTTTGAATATGCATGCATATAAATATGTATATATATATATAAATATATTTATATATATATATATTTATATATATATAGATATATGAGCTCAACAATATAATAATATTTATTAAAGCTGCTCGAAAGATTTTTTAAATTTTTATTTGTCTGAATAAATATTTATTTATTTTTATAGGACATGACATGATATATATCATGTGTCTATATCTGAGATTGAAATCGACAATTCTTATGCATAATGCTTGAATGCCTTCGTGATGTTCTTTTGGAAAAGTAAAGTATGCTTTGCTATAATCCACAAGCCATAAGCTAAGATAAAGTCAAGTCTTTATTCACATTTATTTATTATTATTTAGATACACTAATCATGGTTTCTTTAGCTGCAGCTACGTGCTCAGCACCTTTAGCGCCCAATTGTTTATTTTAAATTCAATTTAGAAATCAAAGCGTGTCTAATTTAATGCGAAATTCGCTTCATTCAAAAAACCGTATACTTTAATTTATTTAGTATAAATAATCACCCAAAACGAAACTAAATCAATGTAATGCAAGTCGAGTTAATTAAGTGTTTATAGCTCATCTACTGTTATGCTTTAATTCCAATGCCAATCAGTCACTCCTCTCCATTCCCATTGGCCGATCGCTGCGATTAAATCAAATCACATCAAATAGTCAACGCCTCGACTCACTCATTAGCAACTTTTATTAACCAAATGTGTCGCATGTGGTTTTTTCTCTGCCTCAATAGCTGAAATGCCAATTGCCATTGGCCCAAACGTTAGATCGAGGCGCTGCAGTGCTTTAAATTAACGTCACACATTTTGGCTAATACAATGCGATTTTTTCTACTTTTATTTAGTTTCGCTTCTGTTTTTTTCTTTATTTTTTATTGCAAAAAACTTATGCCAGTCACAGACCGCGTCCAACTATGATTCAATTCGAGTTTATTGCGTTTGGCATACCCTGTAAACGTAGATTGGGTTCTGCAGAATGGAGAAAACTATGACTCCATAATGGATACATATGTATTCATGCATGTTCATGAATTAATATTTCTCTACGAATTTAATATCAATTCCCCAAAATTTCCGGTTTAGATTACTTTTCTTAAACATTAATTAAATTAATTAAAATGTCTAATACTGGCATTGTAAATATAAATCCGTTGAGCATGTTAAGCTTCTTAAGCGCTTTTAAGCCACAAAAAAATTAAAACTCGTTTTTATGTATTTTCGCTATAAAGAAATCTTCTTTTGTATTGCATGAGTTTAGAGAAAAAAGTTGAAATATTTAACGCCTATATCTGCTTACAGGGCATCTTTCAGTTGTGCACTCCCGCACACGCATTCTTGTTTTGGTTTTTTCTTAAGCATTATAGCCATGTTAACATTTGTGTTATTGATTTTTTACAACAGTTGACAGTTACGCAGGCGCAGTAGACGCCAATTCCCCGACACTTCAAGCCCCGCGAATGAAACTCTTTTTTTTCTGTGGAATTTCAATATATTTACACACTGTTTCGACAACACAAAACTGGGTGTATTTGTTTGTTTAATAGTTGTGCATTTATTTATGGCCCCTTGAATGCCACGCCCCTTCATTCAAAGTTCAATGATGAATCTCGGCTAAAGCATTCGCCCACATTTAATTTCCTATGTAAAAATTGATATATTTGTAGCTTTTGTCATAAAACAGAGTATCTTACAGTCGTGTAAATTATATTTTGACTGGCTGATTTTCATTGACTTTAGCATTTGGCTCTGGATTTGGCGCATGACAAACGATTCGAGCAATTTGACTTTCGTTTTTTGATTGGTTTATCAAATCGTAGTTCATTAAAATGCCAAAATACATTTAATTGCATTTCTGATAGGCCAAAAGCAAACAGATAAAGCCACAGAAGCCCACAGTCTGGTCACGGCTCAGGTATAATAGTTTAATAACACAATTTTTGCATTTATTCCACAATTAGATGCGGTTGTCTGACGTCGATAGTTAAAAAATATGATATGCCCTCGAAGAGAGCGCCTAACGAAAAGATGCTCTGTAGTCGGAGCATTTTAATTAGTTGTTAATTTACTCTTATCTAATTATAACATAGGCAATTGCTTCTATACAAATATAAATAAGCATTGAGATAGCTAAATACGCATTCATTGAGTAACCCGTTTTGTTCTGCTACGAGTTTAGGGAACGTACGTACAACAGCGAAAATAAATGAAAAGTAGCAAACTAATCAGTTACAATCGTTAATTCAGGTAGCTCGTCGTGCTGGTGTTAATATTTTGCGGGGGATCATTAGCTATTCGTATTGTCGTCGGTTTAGCACTTTTCATTTCATACCATGCCCGATTCGATTTACGTCATTCAATTCGAGCGTGCAAAAGTAACTAACAATTTGCTCTGCACCTTTATAATTGCAATAAGGTAAATATTGCACCAGTGCGGGTGTTGCGAAGGCGGCGGGGCGCCATCTATCGGATACCTGTTGACTCATGTATAATACTCTTTTGTTTGGTTTATTAAGTGTCGTCTATTGAGGTGACCTAAGTAGTTGTATTTGATAGACGAAACATATGCACTTGTACTTGGCAATGCACTGAGAGAAACTGAACAGCAACACATACAATTTTTAAAAATTAATTTATAAATATTAGTAAATATAAATAATATTTTTATATGAAGTCGCGTTACCAAGCCATAAGTTTTCAATGTAAATACCTGAGCAGAAACCGATTACCGCTTCACCGATCTAAGCAGACAGTGCAGATATTTAATTCATGTTCATTTTTTAAGAACTAATAGTTGCTTTGTCAATGAACGCTGTTTGTTTATTAAACCCACTGACGTTGCTCATTGACTCACAGAATAAAGAAGAATTTAGAGCAAAGTCGATTGCGAATGTATTTGTGATGTGGGTGCATGGAAACACAGCTCAGACACACTCATATATATAAAATATATGTATACACATATACATAAACAGCACACGCACAACAAACATAAAAGTAAATTAAATTAATGCAAAGTTGAACTCTTTCTGCTTTGTTGTGTGTAAAGAGTGCGTTCAACTTTATAATTCAGCAAGTGGCCCTTGAATTGGCATTCTGACTTTTTTATATTTACTTCACGTTAATTCATTAATTGGCTAAATAAATATTAGAGCCACACCAATTTTTCTTATCGGCATACAATTTCATTGATACGCGCGCACATTCTCGTTGTTTATCTTTTTGGTGTCGGATGCGCAATTTGTGCTGATAATGATTTTCTGTTTAGCTAGTGATAAATGAATAAACGAAAAAGTTTATATATAGCTAGCCGAACACACATATTCAGATATGCTTGTTTGCTTGTAGGTGTATAAGCCGCGCTCTCTGTTGCATGAAAATTGCTTAATTAACTATGCATTACGCGTTGTTTTTTTCTGTTTTTTATTTGGAGTCTTGAGCATTCACGGTCACAGCTTGAAGGTTTTTATTGTTATTGGTTTGAAACGTTTTTAGTAATCAATCTCCACACAAATCACACAAGTTTATATGGCTTACAAAATAATCATAATAACACTAGGTATTTATAGAATTAAAACACTAACCGATTAAATGTTAACGGAAGTAAAAGAAGCCGCAGCGAGCAACAGCTTTGATCGCTGCTTGTTTCGGTACGAAGTTGTCGAGCGTTGAAAGTGAAATAAAAAACGAAAAGTCGCGCCGATTTAACTGGTCGCTCAAGTGTTGGACAATGCTTCGCTTATCGCTGCTTGGCAGCACTCATCGATTGCTTCGCTGCGCAGCACATATCGACTCGAGTCATCGATAGTGTGGGCAGTAGAGCAGTGTCGCTGCGGTTGGCGTCCTCCGAAAATAAAGTGCAATAACTTTCCACGATAAGTGCAATATATAGTGCGCTTGCAATTCTTTGCTATACAAAATGTCGCTAACTATAGTGAAATATCGAAAAACAGCTGATGGCGTTCTACCCATAACACCCACAGTGATATTTAGACCTAAAATTCAAGTGCAGCAACAGCAAACTGTCAAGGTATATCACAAATATATGTACATTTAAAGCCATAAACAGCTGTTTTGAAACGGTCTGGCAACGCGCTGAACTCGTGAAATTGAAAGAAAATTACAATCTTTGTTTTATTTTATTTTAAATAAAAAATGCATTATAGAGGGTAGCAGGCGCCAGTAATGCTCTCGGCAAAATACCCGCCGGAGCTATAATCAAGCCGACTATGAAACGAGCCTCTAACAGCGCCACTTCTCCAGGTTTGTTGAATAGGTTTTTTATACACGATTTTTCTTACCAAGTTTACACATCTCAGCTTCTCCGTTGGTAAAAGCACCAAAGTATGTGATGCAATCGAGTAGCTATGGCAGCACATCTTCTCCAACGCTATCTTGGCAATCGTCCACCCCGCTGGGCAACAATAAAAAGGAAACGTTGGGAGCTGCTATTAGTTCCCTGCCACCCAATACGATTATTAAAGCAACCACCAGACAACAGCTTTCCTCGTCGAACAGCTCATCACCGGTTCCTAGCAATGTTATGGGCACAGTGGCGTCTGCTCCAGCCGCAGCGCCCGCTGTTACGTCTGCCGTGCGTCAGGCGGTGTTCCTTAAACGTGATATGCCGCAACGCACTATGCGCAGCATGACTTTAGGAGCCATTGACATGGCATCCACACTGCATTTGGGTGTATCCAGTGCACATTTACCACTGTTGAAACGTCACATTTGTAAATACGCAAATGTATCGCATCTGGACTGCTGCATAACACTGCGAAAGCTACGTCTCAATGAGCCATTTGCACTGCTCGCCGAGTTCTTTGAATTGAACGAGTTGGATGTGGATCAAATTTTTAGAAATGCGATTGTCAAACTAGCTCGCTGCCTGCGGCCCTTAATACGTTGGCCTGATGCCAAACATTATTCCGAGCGCTTAAAGCATATGCCCTTGGCGTACAGAGCGAACTTGTTGCATGTGCGATCATTGATTGAGTGCGTGGAGACTGAGTTGAGCGAAAAGTTAAATTTTGGCTGCGCCAGCTACAAGTTTATTTTGTGTCTCAATACAAATGGTGAGTGATTCGACGACTATTAAGATACACAGAAATATAAATAGAAATTACTCTTCAGGTGTTATAAGCTATGTGTCGGACACCTATCGAGGCGACTGCGATGATCTACAATTGTTTGAGGCTACCAATTTCAAGGATATTATTCCCAAGTATCTCACACTCTGCGCAGAGCCGGGTAAAGCCGTCAAACGCTTGCCTAAGCCTAATGCAGATGACGGCCTAACAGATGAAGAGTATGAAGCACAGGACGAACAGGAGCCCAAACAAATGCTGAGCAAATATGATGAGCATCGCCTGGCCGGACAATTGGCCAACACGCAATCGTTGTCCGTTTCCAATGGCGCGTTAACCTCAACTCGTGTACCGCAGCTGCAGTTGCCCACGCTACGCGTCAATGAACCCGCATGTCGTGCACAGATGCGGCAAACAATTGACACACTGCGAGAGTTCAAAATGCTCGATCACTGTGCGATGCAGCATGCTCCACTGCTGGGCTATCTGAATGAGATGCTGATTGTGGCTGCAGCACTATGTAATTTGCAGCAGCAGTAGCAGTAACTGTAGAAAAGTTTAGCTTAATTTAAAAACACCTGTTTTAAGGTTGTTACACTCGCAATTATGTACACAAATTGTTAACTATACAAATGAAATTTTTGATACTAAAACTTGTATTTAGCCACTAGTAGTAACTGTAAATTGCAATAGCAACAACGCAAATACTTTCACGTGTCTGCTGCAAATTGTTAGCATAGCTCCTAATTTGTAGTACCTCTTAATTGTTTAGCGTGAAGCTTGAGAGCTTTGTATTCCGTTTGCCAAGACTACTTTGAGAATATGTTATGAAGGTTAACAAGTTAAACAGGCTTCACGACACTCGGCTACAAATTTGATAATCTAACTTTTGCGCGAACTTTTTACTTGCCGTAAAGATATTATATTTGGTGTAGCCAATAGATGTTTACATTTATAAAGTGTATCCATCTATTGAATAGTATGACTAACCTTATAAGATTTCCGCTAGGGTTTTCGGCAGAAACAGGTTGCTCTAATTGTAGATGTTGCCACAGCGATTGCAATTGGTGACCTCTGCAATTTGAAATTGTTGGTCTTTAGCAACTAGACCTTGCTAATATATATGCACACGTGCATTTGTTTCGGGGACTCCGTATTTTATTTTCATAACATTTAATTTATTTCCTATTTTCATGGCTGTTACAAGTTGCTTGAAATGGCCGTCGACTGATGTGTTTTAAATCTATTTGTGCAGCTGTTTGATGCTTTGTTTGTTCGTCGCCACTGCCGATCGCACGTTTAACAGCTGTCAATACCCTCACTCGCCAATTCACTTAAATTTAAAATATGGCATATTAAAAATAGTGTTTAGAGTTAAGGTTATACAACTTTTCAGTAGTTTATTTGTGAGCCTTCGATACTCTAGCCTTCAAGCTAAGCTAACTCACGGAAACCCGAATCAGCTGACTAACATTGGGTTTCATTCAAGCGTTAGCTGTTCTCCCTTTTTTATATCGCAATCAGCTCACAGCTCTAATCTGAGCTTCGCTTAATACTAAGTTTCTGCAGAAAACCTTTATCCAGATAATTTACAGCATCATTCATTGAATCCTGGTCAATCGACACTAAGTCCTGTAGGGCCTCTCATCCATCCTTACCTTTTTCCTTTTTACAGCAGCAGCTTAATCATTAATCATTAGCAGGCTATCATATCAATAATTCGTATACTTAGCCGTTTTTCTAAAGGCCCCTTATTTCAGAAATTTACACTCTAGTCCTTTGTGTACGCAGAATTTATTACAAACGGGCCAGAGACACCTGTTTGATAAGTATATAAAGTAAAATATTGTACTAGAAATTTATACAAATGTTATTTTATGTTTTATTTTATTTTAGCAGTATATCTGCTTCTGTTAAAGTATAAAAGATATGTATTTAAACAGCATCACTAGAAGATTCAATTCATATATGGCCAGACATGTCCTTCTCTCGTAAAAATAAAATTGTGTTTCGCTTTCTAAACACATTTGAGCGTTATATTCACAGTCGCAATTTTAATTCTCTAAGCATGCATTCTGAATTTTGTTACTTACCACGGTGTTTAGATTTTCCTATACAAGCACACAATTTAAAAGAAATCTTACTTTTTATTTTGTATATTGTTTTGCTTTATTTACGGTATAAAGAGTACATAAGTAAGCTAAATACATATACATATATATAGTAAATATATGATGAAATAAATTTAACGAAGGTTTTCCATGAACTAGCCGCAAATGCAAAGCAAAAACTTATACAGATATAAATGTAGTATAATTAAAGAAAAATAAAACAAAATATGGGCAAAACTTATTCAATTTTTCAACATATTTGTTTCTTTTTTTTGGGAGTGTATTCGGGGAGTTTTCACTTTTCTTTATATGTAGGCGCAACATCATAGAGCTTTATATTTTATTCTTATATTTTGTATATAAGTATATTTTTTTTGGATCTCAATGCATTTCATTTGGGTTTTGTCTACGGGCCGGGAAACGGTATTTAGCTTAGGCTAAATGTATTAATTAAAAGCTTGCTTAATTCATAAGTGACTTTTGCATACTAAAATACATAGTTAGGTTTATCATCAAGTATTACAAAGTGTATGCCTGCCGTAGCCAAAGAAAGATATGCCACTAAGCCTCAGCATTTGGACAATATGTGTTATATATATTTAAATATATATATATATTTATATATATATATAGTATATATATATGATATGGATCTGCCAGCCATTTAACAATAGTTTAACTTATCGTTTGTGCGCTTCGTGTAAAATAATAACAAGTACGGTGTTTAGAATGCTGGGTGCATGATATGGTCTGGATTTTGGGATCTCAGAGCTTTTGTATAATTTCAAATTTCTTTTTTAGATCGACGCTCTCGTTCTTGGGATCGTATTTCTTCTTCGAGGCCAGTTTGGCGCGCATTTCTGCGACGGTTAGCGGCAAGTTCAAACTGCCGGCACGATTCATGCCTCCATTGGGCGCTGGCACTGTGGGCATGGCACTGCCATTGCCATTGACATTTGTATTGCCATTGGTGGTGCTGGTGGTGGTGTTGCTGCCGCTATAGACGCTGCCATTGTTGTTCATGCTGGCCACTGTAGCCGACGGTGGCGGCGGGGTACTCATCATTTTGCTGTTGTTGTTATTGTTGTTGCTGCTAATGCTGTTGTTGTTGCTTGGCGATTTGCTGCCATTCTGCGCTGAGATTGGGGCAACAGCAACAACAGGCGCTGGCGCCATGGGCGTACCCCTGTCCACCACATCCATGTCGCTGGCATTCATTGTGCTGCCGCTCTGAATGCTGCTCGCATTCGAGATACGCTTCGTGCTGGTCACACTGATGCTGCTAATGTTGGCACTGGCGCCGGGCAACTCCTGCTTGGTGCCCTCATAGCTGGGCGGACTGCCATTATACACACTGCCACTGCAACTGCCATTGGTCGCCGGCACTGGCGAAGCTGCGCGCGATGTCGACTTGGGCGGCATTTCGATCGCCTTGCCATCCACATCGATCAGCAGCAGTCGAACCTCGTTGGCAATGGCTTTGATGCGCGCCACCACCTGCTTGTGAGTCTCGCTGCCAATGGAGACGCCATTGACTTCCAATATGCGATCGCCCTCTTTCAAGCCAGCTGCCTCGGCTGGCGAATCCAGGTCCACTTTGCCAATGAACTGGCCCGGCTTGACCTTCTCTGAGTGCAGATTGAAGCCATAGCCATCGAAATCGGGTCGCTTTACTATGTGGCATGTTTTGGTCACACCTGGCGGCAATGTGGGCGGCGTGGGCGTTTTGGGTGAGGTCGGCGTAGACATAACTGCAAGCAGAATAATATCAAGCAAAAGCTGTTTATTAAATGTGCATAAATAAAAAAAGAGACGGAAGCTCTGATAATATAAAATAAATAACTACAGATTTGACTGTGCCCCGGAGACTTGAATAGCTTCAGTACGAATTTTATTTACTGTTTTCCAATGCTCGCCCAATATCAACTCTCAAGTAATATTATTTCGCATGTCTTTCAAATTGCATCAAACGGACAATGACTCAAGTTGAAGCTCACAGCTCTAAGCGACTTGTTGCGCTGTGTTCTATAGATATGAATTCACTGAAATTGACTTGGTTCAGCCTTATGTTTTTTTTTTTTTGCTGATAATTTTCAAAATTTTTGTAATGAGCTTTTGTGTTTCCTTTTTTGATGAATTAAAGATAAGTTGTGTAACTGTTTATGGGTCAACAAACTAGAACATATTCATATAACTCTGAGCAATTTTTAAAGCTTTGACTTCTTATCAGCGTTTGTCGTGTGCACTGTGTGACCCATACCATAACCATAGTCAGGCTTATTCAATTGATCAACTGATGAATTGATAAATGGCAGAGGCCAGCACTTGCCTCTTACTTATTTGCTCAAAAATTGTTTTTCTTTTTTGTTTGCTATTTACTAAATATCTTGAAGGTTGTGCTATTGTTTTTAAAGTAAGCCAAATAGAAATTCCACTGGCATGTGCTCATGGGTCAGATATATAAATTTTGTTGACTCTTATCGTGGGCGTTGCGTCAGGTATAGTGATTTGCGGTATTTTTGGCACTTCCATCTGTCTCCGTTAAGTACAGCTGATACCATGAATTGCCACAATGCAATTCAGTAGGCTGAACAACTATACAATGGATTGTGGAGCTTACCTACGCGCGTTTTTGAACTGCCAAAAGTGACGGCTGAAATTCATAAAGTTCTGACAACAATTGTTCTCAACTTGAAAGTTATATAAAATATGAATTCTACGAGAGTCGAGGGGGACGAAAATTAGGAAATTGAATTTTTGTATTTTTTTATTAGATTATTATATTTTTTAATCACAATAAATGTTTGCAACGGTTCCAAGTGAAGCAGCTTTTATACAAAATTATTTTGTTTTAGCTTTCCAAATGTTTTCAACAGAATGAATTTGAAAACTTATTGGCAATTGAGAAATGAATTAAAATATCTAATCATTCTGCAAGGGAAATGAACATTTTTAATGGTTTATTTTATGATTAACTTCAGCTCGAATTAAAATTTTAGTTTTTATCATTTATCATATATTTGATTAATAATTTAAATTTAATTACAATTAAAATACTGAACCTAAAGTGGATCAATCAAAAAGAGTTTGTTTCCATATTCATTATTAATTATTAGATTGTTTGGTCAGATTGCGATTTCGCTTTTAGGCAAACTAAGTTTTCATGTTTTTAATTTATTCAAAGAACTTCATTTATAGAAATATTTAAGTCAGCTGTAGTCCCTACTTTATACTCCCTATTTCAGTCAGCTCTTATTGGAACACCCTTATGGAAATTGAAATTCTTTTATTCGGCTCATAATAGATCATATATATGCTGGCTTTGCTTTCCGCCTATCAATTATCTATTAGCAATTATATTTTTTATTATTATATGTTTCTATTTACTTTTTTCTGCTGCCTGTGACGTTGTTGCGAAATGTCAGTTCCGCTTCCTAAAACAACAAACAGCACTAAAAACCTACATACGTACGTACATAGATATACTATGCACAATTGCTATTATTATTGTTAGTATTATTTTTGGCTCGATTCTCCCGCTATTCGTTGTTCATTTCGCTTTTTTGCGCTTCATTGTTTACCTTTGTCATATTAAAAATCGCTTACTGTAGATGCTAGGGGCAGGCGACGGGGGCCTTTGAATTTGATTGTCTGGCTGGCAAGTCAAGGTCGTCTATTGAGCGCATCTTAAAACTTGAACAGAATTTATATAATGAATTCAGCAAGCGGCAAGTGGCGAAAGGGTGAAGTGGTGAAGGAGCGGGCCACCATTCAACAGAACCGATCAACACAAGCAAATGTTAATTCGCAGGGCTTCAATTACGAGTTTTTACCTGCCCGCCCGTTGCGTGGCCATAAATCTTACTCATTTTTGCTTCCCAAAGATGATTCAGCCAAGAAATAAATGATTATGTATAAGAATGTATTTTAGTTTATTTTTCCCCTCCGTTTCTCTTCCCCTCTCTTACTTTTTGGTTGTTTTATAATTGAACTTCAAGCGCAAATAAATATAAAGGAAGTGCCGCAACAAAATACCTGCTCGAGAGCTGTTTTCTTGACATTTTTGGCTTGTACCTGTTCATAACAAAGTTCAGGGTCATTGGAATTTTAAAAGGCTTTGAAGTCAACGCGTTGGCACGTAACAACATATTTTACCTTTTTTTCATTTATATGTATATGTGAAGAGCCTGAGTTGAAATGTTTTTAAGCTGATCAGATCTCTCAAGTAGAGTGTGTGAGAATGTTTTAGATGAAATGGCTAGAATCTTTAAAGGGAAGGTCGTATCTCAATTAATAATGAGAAAAGGTTAGATCTTGGAGATTGTTATAAAGATAAAAAAATAGTTTTATCAAAAATTAATTGACTTGAAAAGATATTTTTATATATTTTTAGCTACAAAAATACTAAAATAAAAAATATTATAATGTAAAAATAAACATATTTTATATGGTTTAAAATATAACAATATAAATATATATAAAATGATTAATAAGACTTCATTAAGTCTTATTTTGTTAGCTAACTTCACATTTTTTTATAAATTATAATTCAGGGAAATATCTTATTTATATATATAAACAATTCCCTACTAATTGAAATTAAAAACAAAACAATTGTATACAACTTTGACACGAAAATCAGCTTAGTGTAAACAAATGCCAAAAATGTTTTATAAAATAGGCATTTTTTTAATTTACACAGACAAAAGCCTGTCAGAAGAGTTTATTTTGATTGTTGTATTTATTATTCATAAATTTGTGGGCATAATTCAACAATTTGTTGGACAGCGCTCAAGCTTTTGGGGCTTTTTCATTCATGCTGTTCGTCTAAAAAATGAGTTGTCCCGCGCCCAAGCCGTCCCTCGTTTGAGGAAATGTGCGCAAAACTTTAATTGAATTTGCAATCAAGCATGAAGTACACGCACACACACACACGCAAATGCACACAAGCTTTATCACAATGGAGAAATATGCCCCAACCCCTTGGTGCCGTCGTCTTTGGGGCACAGTGGATACCCGCATGAACGGCTATGCGACAACAGCCTCCATTGTATTTGTTGTTTATTTATTTAAGCGGTTTCTCATCATTAAAACAAATTAGCCGTTAGGCAACAGCACAGGTAGCACAGGCAGTTTGTCTGTGCGCCCGTCTAACTGTCCGCCCCAATGTCCGATTCTATGTCCGTTTACGTTTCTCAGCACTTTGAGCACATGACAAACGCGCTACGAAAAAATAGAGATATTTTATTGCCGTTAAAAACTATTGTTAGACATATTTAGACACCGTTTGCAAAAGCTTAAAATTGGATATACTGCCTAGGCGTCATGGGACGAAGGCTTTTTAGTGTGAAATTGAGCTGGAAACATATATTTATTTGTGCGTCGAACATTGACTCGAGTCTAGAAAAGCTAATAAGAAATAGGTCTCTTTATCAAGTGTGTTGTAACTTTTTATTGAGCGGGAAACTTTCGATTGTAATTCTGTTATCGGTTTTATTATGCTTCGTTTTGCGTAATGTACATCAAACCAAACGGAGAGACTTGGCATATGAAATTCATGTGTAGATGATGCTTTGAACTGTGCCTCCTCACTAGAGTCGCAAGCGAGTATCTTCAACTTGTGCTAATAGATCATTGCAATTCCCCACTACACATAGACTTAACAATTATTTGTGAATAATTTATTGTTATTTTCATAGTAGCAGTAGTCACCAGAATGTCTTAAAGTCAGCGAACGTGTCGCACACTTCAACGGAAATTCTTAATACGAACATTGTTTCCCACATATATTTGTATATCCAGCTTATGCACATGTAAATGGCAGCGTGAAATCATAATTTTTATTTATTTTGTGCTTTTAGAAATATTTGCTGTTAGCTCGCAAATTAATTAGCTCGCTCGTGTCGCGCACTACTCTAAATCAAATATTAGCACGTTCTCGAAAGCAACATGCAAATTGAAACTGATAAGCGAAAAATAATAAAGGAAATACCGCACAAACCCCTCGGCAGCACAGCGGAATTTATTAGATAAGCGAACGGTGCACAATTTTGAGTAACTAAATTCATAATATGAGAAATACCTTAAGTACATATTGTTCTTTAATTCGTTTCGGGGATTTCAGTTGACATACTTTAGCTGAGAGTTGACATTATGAAATGCGCTGTGTGAGTGAGAATTATGACATTCGTTTGCCAACAAAAGCATAGGAATGAGTCATTCCGCCTGAGATTAATGAATAAGATCAACACACCTGAGGGAAAATTTATTGTAACCGGAGATAGCAAAGGCATGAATGAATTTGCGCGACTAGCGGAAAAGGTTTGTTTAGATAGTGTTTATAACATACTACTTAAAAAAATTAATTTTAATTTAATTTAATTTTAATTAAATTTTTTAATAGATATTAGAAAAATTTCCTAGAAAAGCTAATATTAAGCACTGTATTTTAAGGCATGTGGCAACTAATATCAAGCTATATTGAAATAAACATCTTTTAATTAAAATTGAGGTCTGATGTCTGGCAGCCTTGATAAGAGAGGCAGTGAGTAGGCAGTCCGGCAAAGATAAGCTGTATCCGAGAATTGCAGCAGATAAACAAGTTGCATATAGAGCAAATATATAGATAATAACACCTGAAGTTAGTATGTAAGTTGTTAATCTATAAATACAGTAAGAGTGGTGTATAGAGTAACTGAAAAGTATTGCAAAGGGACCGGCTAGGAGACACCCTTAGCCCCAAGCAAGCACG